ACTGGGTTATTCCGCCCCTGCACCCAGCTCCAGAGCTGCGCGCTCCACTTCTGGAGGTTTTTACAACAACTGGTGTGGTCCGCAAACAACTGAAACGTCTTAAGAGCTGCAAGTCTCCTGGAAAAGACGGTATTCCAAATGAAGTCCTTAAACTGCTGGTGCCTTCCTTGTCGTATCCCCTGTGCTTGCTCTTCAACTTGTCATATCGTGCAGGAGTCTTCCCATCTGCGTGGAAATCTGCTATTGTTGTCCCGATCTTTAAGAAAGGACAACGCTCCCAAGCTGTTAATTACAGGCCCATCTCCCTCCTACCCACTATATCCAAGGTCTGTGAACGCATCTTCTATGAATCTCTCTACCACCATGTCACCCCTGCCCTCTCCTCTGCACAATCCGGCTTCTGTCGTGGCGACTCAACTACTTTGCAATTGACACGCTTAATCCAGGATATTTACGGACATCGTAACCTGAAGAAGCATGTAGGTCTTGTCTTTTTTTATCTGTCAAAAGCGTTTGATACAGTCTGGCATCGAGGCCTACTTGCAAAGCTTGAGTACATTTTTCTAGTACGTGGTACAGCTCTGCAGTGGCTGTCGTCATATTTGTCGTCCCGTCATCAAACTGTCCGTGTCTCTGCTTCCTTGTCCGATCCTTTACCTGTAGTGTCTGGTGTTCCACAGGGGTCCATACTGGGTCCACTCCTTTTCCTAACTTATGTGAACGATCTGCCCTCTCTAGTTCCAGACGTCAGCCTTTTTGCTGATGACACTGCACTGTTGTGCTCTGACAGCTCGCCGTCCAACCTCGTTACCTCCATGCAGACCGGCATTAACTCCACCATAGCATGGATGGAAGCTTGGAAGCTGAGGCCCAACATCGCGAAGACCGAAGCAATGTTCATCAGCCCATCGCCGCCTACTCAGCCGTTGCACTTTCCAGGAGCCAATGCTAACGTTAAAATTGTTCATGAACACAAACACCTTGGTGTTATATTCGACAGCCATATGTCCTGGTCCCCACAGGTCCAGTCAGTATGCAAGCGAGCTAGCTCCTCCCTTGGCATGTTGCAACCTCACTGCCACCATTTAAATGACCATTGCCGAAAATTGTTCTTTACGTCGTATATTCTACCTATATTTGATTACTGTGACACAGCGTGGTGCGGTCTGTCTCAGGCCCTTGTTCAAACTCTGGAAATACACCAGCGTCTGCTTCTAAAAATCAAACATTCTCCTCCCAACGTCTCTACAGTTTAGCTTCAGTATCTCCCCTCTTAGAGCGACACCAGCAACATCTTTGCATCCTTCTACACATGATCTTATTAGACCTGGCTCCAAAACACTTTGCTAAGTATAACTGGTTTGTGTCCACCAGATCAACACGTCATTCCTTCTCATTACCCCGTGCCAATACCTCCCTGTTTCTGAAATCTCCTATCTTCTCTGCGTACACTCTCTGGTCTTCCCTGCCAACTAGCCTTAAAGCATGCACAGACATTAAGGAGTTCAAGCTTCAGCTTCTTCGTCCTAAATAATCTCACCATTTTCGTTATGCCTCCCCTTGCAGTACTCCCTTTGTTTCTCTCCTTATTATTCAGTTCGCCGTGGTTGGCTACCACCCGACTTCCCATATATATTGGCAGTCTTCTGACGAGCCAGGAGATGTTGAATTAATAATAATAATAAGAAAAATAAACAACAACAAGAACGAGTATGACGATTGCGAAGACAGTTTAACCGTGATGATAATTTTCAAAGGTAACTCGAACTATTTTGGCAATGAAAAAATCTGTTTACAAAAGAAGTCAACTAATGAATAGAAGAAGTAATGTTTTCTCTTTTCCATGTTGATCTCTAGCATGCATGGACACCTTGGTATGGGGATACTCATGTATTTTGTTGTACTTATGGCCACTTGGAAGTACGAAAAAGGCACAAATTTCCGAACTTTGAGGCTCCATAAGTACAACAAAGTGGATATGTATCCCTGCGTGCCAAAGCATAATACGAGGTTTTGCGAGCATTATGCGAGAATCCATGAAATAATTCCAAGATTTCGAGAGCATAGACCGCCGGAGCCTACTCCCCGGGAGAGGGGAGAGAGACTCAAAAGGAATCTTGGAAAGATGACTCAATTGGCCATTGAACCACCCAACGGCCGACACCCCCTGAAATCCCCAAACTAGGGTGAACTTGAAATGATCCCACTTATGGGTTCACCACACCTCAGTAAGTGGTTGAGGACAAGGTGCAGGAAAAGGATTGACGGCATCAGGGTATTCGTCCCGGGATCCACCTGCAGGTACCGCTGCCCCCAGTGAAGGTGATACTTGCTACTAGTGTGCGTGGCTAAATCAGAGTGGATCGGATAAAAGCTTCACTAGCACCATTGTTTACACAAGAGTTAATCTAGCCAGAAGCAGTCCATGGTTAACAGGTATGTATACTTCAAATGGAAAGTGCATGAATCCTGAAACCAACAAAGGTGGTAGGTACAGCAATACACCTTCACGCAGCTGAGCCCGTTGTCAACAGGCCCAACACTATCTGGCATAAGTGTACCCACCAACCGAACTAGCTGACACACACACACACCTCACACACACCTTCTTCCTTCTTCTCCACTGCCATGACTGGCTAAGTGGCCCCATACGGGGCAGCTCTTGGATTAGCGCTGTCTCCGGGAAGCGGCACCAGGACCCAACGACTGACGTGACGGCGCATTCCCACGGGTTATAATTGCTATTGAACGCCGCGATGTACAACGATGCCGTGCGATATCCTGACGGCGGCGGAAATCTTCGACAGTATATTGATGAGAGCCGAACCAAAGCGTCTCCTGGAGGCCAACGATGTCCATTCCATACTTTTTGAGCTGACGACACACAAGGTCAATTTTTCTCTCCTCGCGAATATTCGAACAAACTTTCACACACACACACACACACACACACACACACACACACACACACACACACACACACACACACCTCACACACACACACACACACACACACACACACACACACACACACACACACACACACACACACACACACACACACACACACACACACCTTGGTCCTTGGTAACACTGCCATCAAATGGTCACGTGTCCCCTGTGCAGGAGTCGACAGCACTGAGTTCAGCATTGGATCCAGAAACGCCGCTCTACTTCCTGGACAGGAAATTAGCACAGCTATGCAGGTCGAAACCACGGGATGACTTGCAGCAGCGACCGCAGCCGAGACAATGCGCTCTGCAGCAGGGCAGGGCAACCCGCTGTTTCCGGACCGAGTCTGCCGATGCCACAGCCGAGACCGACGCCACTTTAGCAGCCGAGTTGGAGAGACACTTATGCGAAGCTAGCCCGCCGGCACTCAAGAACCATCTCCCGCACGCATTACATAGTCGGCTGCCGCACACACACACACACACACACACACACACACACACACACACACACACACACACACACACACACACACACACACACACACACACACACACACACACACACACACACACACACACACACACACACACACACACACACACACACACACACACACACACACACACACACACACACACACACACACACACACACACACACACACACACACACACACACACACACACACACACACACACACACACACACACACACACACACACACACACACACACACACACACACACACACACACACACACACACACACACACACACACACACACACACACACACACACACACACACACACACACACACACACACACACACACACACACACACACACACACACACACACACACACACACACACACACACACACACACACACACACACACACACACACACACACACACACACACACACACACACACACACACACACACACACACACACACACACACACACACACACACACACACACACACACACACACACACACACAAACACACACACACCTCACACACATACACAAACACATACACACACACACACACACACACACACACACACACACACACACACACACACACACTCACAAATTCGCCTGCAGAAGCGAAGTCGGACGATCTTCATTAGCAAGAAAAGGAAAGTAAAAAGTAGGTATTAGGAGTACGGCTACAAAACTATAGTAATCTCAACAGACGATAAAAAAATGTTCTTACGTCACCCGTCATGAACAACGCTGCAATAAATCCAGTAAATCCATTTCAACCAGACTTGGCAGCAAAACAATTATTTTTACCGCATTTTACCTGGGGAATACATAATGATTATTATGCGCTTGTTTTGGCCATTTCAGCAGGTGATAAAACAAAGTAAACTGCCCCGTATTACTACTGAACGCACAGCAGAAAACTGCCTGATAGCAACAAGCTGCAGCTAGTATGTGTGTAGAAGGCATACATGTATGAAAGAGAATGAGAGAGAGGGGGGGGGGGGGGGAGGGAGACGGAGAGAGAAAAAGCGAGAAAGGGAGCGAGATTATGATAGAGAAAGTGAGTATTGCAGATCTGCATAGTTGCATTTGTCGAGTAAGAAAGTGAAAAATCATACTCTAGGGGCACAACTGTGATAATTAGAACAGTAGGGAAATACCGTGGGATAAAAACGTTGGGAACCCGAGATACAAATTTCCGGCAAAGGAAGACCCACAAACACGGAATAAAAAAAGGAGAATAAAACTTGTGTAAGATGTGAGAACTGCGGGCAAACCGATGAGGAAGAGGAAGGATAGGAAAGTGTGCGAAACGATACCCAATGCATGCACGCTAGAAATAGCCGCCTCACTTGAGACCTATGAATCGGCATTGTCAGTCCATTAGTAACCTTGAATCGAAATTGATTTGCTCATGCGTGTGTGTGTGTGTGTGTGTGTGTGTGTGTGTGTGTGTGTGTGTGTGTGTGTGTGTGTGTGTGTGTGTGTGCGTAGCATGTGTGGTGCATGCGCAGGATAATTCGCTACGCAGCCACTTGCGTGAGTTAAAATGAAAGCCATATTCTGGATTATTGGAAATATTTTGTTCATCGCAGCCCCGAGCAGCTGAGACACAAGCAAGCAATACGCACATAATAACGTTGACAAAACCAGTGTGAGCAAAGGACGGAAAGGGGCAGAAGGCACTATCCAACAGTGCATCGTGGTTGTCTAGCGAGGACATGACAGCGAAGAGCACGAGCTAAGCGGTGTGCATCCGAGGATACCTCTTCAAACTACCCGGTGCCAGATTTGTTGCCACCGAGTTCCTCTGCGAAGTAGTCATCCAAACTCATCTGTACGGATGACGCCCTGTCCATAGCTCCCGCGCCAACGCTGCACATTCTGGCCACTTTCATTTGGCTGTTGCGCTCCAGACTCTCTGCACGCACGTAAGAATAGTGGTTCGGGACGTGCGGGAAGTAAGGCTTGTCCTGGTCGGCCTTTCCGGAAAGGCTGGATGGCGCAGGAGGTGGGTTTGTGATGATGGGGGGTTCCTCTTGACGGAGGCTTTGCCCACCAGCGTGTACTGCGCGCCAGCAATCTGCTCAGGAGAAGAGGGCACGTATCAGTGCGCTCGTCTTTCGATCCAACACCGCCATTGCGCCGCCGGGGGCTACGGTAACACAATTCTGCGTGTCGAGCTCCATGTCCTTCTTGGTTTTGAGCAGCAAGCTGGGCACCTGGTTACCACTGGAGGTGACCTGCACAGAAGAGCTTTCCGACTTCTGAGGACTGGCGGCATCTTCCTCATGCCCACACTGTGTGGCCGAGACGGCAAGCCTCGTCTCCGCGGCCAAGCAGACTTGTTCGTCCGAGGCCCCGTCCAAGGGCTGGCTGGACGTACTGAAATCGAACAGGGCATGCTTGTTGCACACGGTGCTCACGTCAGGCTGAGCCTCGGTCATGGAAACTTCGAAGACCGTCAGTGGTGTAGTGCTGCCGCTGTTGTTCTTAGATTCATAGCTGCCATCGAGGTCGATAGACACTGGCTTGCCGTTGGCTTGCATTGACTTTGCCGGGACGGAACTTGACAGTTCGTCTGCTGCCGCCCTGCTCGCATGTTGCTCACTGTCCAGAGATTCCCAGCCCCCGCCTGCTGCTGCCGCTGCTGAGCCTACAGCGTATGCATCGTTAGTGCTTCCGTTCACGTGCCTGCTGAAAAGAGAGTACTGTTTTTCTTCGTCGCAGGGGTTCCAGTCGTTTGAGTTGGCCCTCGTCAGGTCATCGATCACACCATAGTCTCCTTCGAATTCGTTCAACGGCACAGTGGTAACTGACGAACCTCTCCTACTGGCCCATCTACCTCCTCCCTCTATTGTTGGCCTGCGAGAGAAGACGTTGAGGTAATCGCCGTCCGCCGATGTCCAATGCTCCAAGTCTTCGGCCTGGCTTTCGCCGAGCGGTGAAGCGGTCGACCCAGAGTGGTTGTTGGCAACGAGTCTCTCCTCAGTTACGTTGTACCGACAGCCGAGGTCGTGCTGGGAGCTGATATTCGACCAACACGGTGAGGAAGTGACCGGGATGGTGGCGCTGTTCCGTCTCGACTTCTTGCCCACCACGCTGTAGAGCAACGAGGAGCACATAGCGTAGAGAGTGTTGGTGAGACGGTGGCCTGATTCCGTGTGGCCTTGCTGCGTGTTGATCGGCTTACCGTTTCCTTGCCTTTCGTCGTACATCGCACCGGTGAGGTTGGACGTGGAGTTGGAAGTTTCTTGGCTCAGATTGCCAGCACTGCAGCTGAGGTCGCCGCGCAGGCTCTGCTCAGCTTGCTGACAGTGGGCCGACGTGTCCGGCGAGAGCTGCCGGTCCGGCTTGGCGTCGGTGTAGGTGCTCACCGACTGGGAGCGGGCGTCGGCTCTTGCCAGCTGAAACTCCTCGTGGTACGTAGTGGTGTAGTCGTCCGTCGACGTGGCACTGCTTCCATACCTCAAGAACAGTTCATACGCTTTGTTGTCGAATTGGAGCTGTGGCGGGTGCTCGTCGACATCGTTCTTCCTGCTGTTCAACAAGACATGGGTAGACACAATAGTGGCAGACAGACAGAAATATAGATTGGGCAACAGTATATTAATATGAATTGGTTAGCCGACAGACTGGGAGAAATCAGCAAACGAAGCACAGCAACCACACAGTTTCAACTAGGCGTTTTTCACGTCGAATACCATGGTGATTAAGGCCTCGGTCACGCTATGGCAAGGTTGTAGTTGGACCATTTTTCACGTCGAATACCATGGTGATTATGGCCTCGGTCACGCTATGGCAAGGTTGTAGTTGGACTTAGCGCCAAATATGGAGTCGCACTGCATTTTTGCTTTTGCCGTCGCGGCCTGACGCACTTCACAAAACCACTGTGTGACGAATCAAATCCCTGTGATAAGAGTAGGGTACGCTATTTTTCAAAGAAACTTGTTTTCATGCAAGTGAATGCAGCAGCATGCAAGCGACAGCGGAAACACAGCCGATTTGCTCCCAGCGTCTGACGCTCAAATTTCCCCGCGTTTTCGTCAGTTGCCATGGAAAAGCTCATGATTCTGATGCTGACGCTGCATTTTTTACGTAGTGTGACCGAGGCCTAACACGGTAGCAAGCATGTCCTTATAACCGGCACTTTGGCGGTCAGGGCATTGACAACGCAGCACTTTAAAAGATTGCGGTAGTGGTTGCGCTAGTGGTGACAACTTCATAGTAAAACATTGAATATTACTAGTATCAAACAACAGTGGAGACCACGGTACTACAATGTCAAAAACGCTGACAACTTTCGCACAAACTTCTTTTGCACACACAGCCAAATATGTAGTTGGCGCCACTAGCGCTATCTGTTAAAGTGCTATTTTTTCAATGCGCTCACCGCCAAAGTGCCGGTTATAAGGACATGCTTGCTACCTTGTTAATCACCATTGTATTCGACTTGAAAAAGAAAAGAAAAAGAAAGGCCTCCTCGAAACTATAATTATGGCTTGTGTGCTTCGTGTGCTCATGAATAATACAATGCATGCAAAAGTTGAGGAAACGCTCAACCCCTGCCTCTCCCCCGCTCCTGCCATACCATAAGTATGTCTCATTGCTGCCTTGCTGCTTTGTGCCGTCAAATAGTTGGTGTTTTCTTGTCTCAAAAAAACTTATGAGAGTATTCATCGGTTTGGGGGAAAGTGTTAACGGGAAAGGTCTGGAGAAAAAAAATTGACTGTTACCACCAGGACTTCAACCAGAAACTGATGAGAATCGCGATACTAACACACCTCCCTAGTTTTATGTTTGTGATAACCTTTCAGCAGAACCCACTTGTCGAGAATTAGTGTATTGGGAGGAGGGGATGATGAAGCCATCGTCTGCAGAGATTACCCCCACCCACTCAACGCACTGCACGCACGCCATTAGGGTATTGGAGAATCGTCCTCCCGGTACAGTACAGTCGGGCGCCAAAGAACGCAGCACCGAAGAACGACCAGCCTAGAATTTCACCAAGCACAGCATACCGATGTATACACGGTTACTCAACCACGCATAGTTTGTAGTACATTAAAATAAGAACAGTCTAGGTTTGAAACCTGCCCCCCCCCCCCCCCACACCCCCTCATTCTTCAGCGACCGACAGTACTACACTGCAGGAAAGCCTGTGACTAGCGACCAGCCTGGTACAGGTCGTCCCCCGTTAATACGAGTCCGGTTAGTACATAAACCCCGTTAGTACATAAGAAATCTCAAGTCCCGGCCGAAACGTGGTCACTTCCATACAAATTTTGTCGCTTAGTACATAATTCGTTAGTACATAATCCCCGTTAGTACACAACATTTCTCCATACCCGCATGCCACCTACCTCAATAGTTCATAATTTGAACAAACGGCGAGGAGACAACAATTTGATAACCGCAATCAGTAATACAAGCTGGATCGACATTTGTGTACACTGTATTCATGTATTGTTAAACTGTGGAGATAATGTGCAATAAAACGATGAAAAATGTGAAGAAATTGTGTAGAGAAAGACAGGGATTCAAACAAGTTTTCGTACAACACTCATCAGGAATCGTCGTTGTACTAAAGGACACTGAAACGAAAATTGAACTATTATAGAAAATCTAAGTTAGAGAAATAACACTAAGAGCAACAACAGTGAAATTTACAAGTGTGAATTTTAAAAATCAAAGCGAGAAATGAACAAAGGAGAAAGGAAGGAAAGACAACGTGATAACACATAACAGCAGTACATTACACCTAGAATATTAACGGCCAAGCTTGGCCGCATTAAACACGACACGTTACTTGAACAATTTCAACCCAATTATACTATCTTTCTGTACACACAAATTAGGCTTGTACAGACGCTGATAGATAGCTTCCAACACTTTTAACTGTAGTCCATAACCATGACGACCACGGCACAATGCAGTGAACGAAGAGTCGGAATACGCACCGCAACAATCAGGACTAGCCAGCAGATGATTGTACACTGAAGACTTGCTACCACGAAACCTACGCACAACACTAACACTCTCACCGGCACTCTCACCATCACTCCCATCACTGCTCTCCGACTCACTGCTCTCTCCACCGTCCGTTCCATCCTCTGCTTCCTCTGTACTCTCTCTGTCTCGTCCATCCCGCCTGACCGGGTCCATTGAACTCAACTCGGCCGTCCCCCTGCTATCACGTCCCTCCTTTCGCCCTCGTCCGCTGAGTGCATAGCTTCTGTTGTAGTTGGCTGTTGATCGTCTTGGTCTTTCAATTATGGGCTTGGATGGTAATACATAACATTAGCATCCCCCCACCTCACAACAGAGCAACCGAGTTTTGCATTAAGCTGGGAGTGCCGATTCGAGCAACTGGTATAATGGCTCGCAGCTGAGCCAGCAAATGACTCCGCTTGGAGCAGGCGAATGACTCCGCATGGAGCCGGCAAATGACTCCGCATGGAGCCGGCAAATGACTCCGCATGGAGCCGGCAAATGACTCCGCATGGAGCAGGCGAATGACTCCGCATGGAGCCGGCGAATGACTCCGCATGGAGCCGGCGAATGATTCCGCATGGAGCCGGCAATTGACTCCGCATGGAGCCAGCGAATGACTCCGCATGGAGCCGCCAAATTACTCCGCATGGAGTTGCCAACTACTCCGCATGGAGCCGCCGAATGACTCCGCATGGAGCCGCCAATGCCTCCGCATGGAGCCGCCAATGACTCTGAATAGAGCCGCCAAATGCTAGATATATAGAGATGCATAACCAGTTGAGAGCATATATTCTCATGGACTATACAGATACCGTCATGTGTGCGCCAGAAACATGAGTTGAGCTAGTGGGTGGGAGGGTGGGAAGGAAATTGTTTCGGGAACACCTGTTCCGCAAGTTGCACGCTCGAAAGTCCAAACAGCAATGACATGAAAGAGACATTGTACAGGATATTGAAGGGCGCGTGCCCACGTGACTCGCGCATGCGTGCAGGTTGGGCCAGCTCGCTGGGCTGGCTGCTAACTCGCGTTAGCATGCTAACGCTCATTTAGCATCCCCCCACCTCACAACAGAGCAACCGAGTTTTGCACTAAGCCTCGAGTGCCGATTCGAGCAACTGGTATAATGGCTCGCAGCTGAGCCAGCAAATGACTCCGCTTGGAGCAGGCGAATGACTCCGCATGGAGCCGGCAAATGACTCCGCATGGAGCCGGCAAATGACTCCGCATGGAGCCGGCAAATGACTCCGCATGGAGCAGGCGAATGACTCCGCATGGAGCCGGCAAATGACTCCGCATGGAGCCGGCGAATGACTCCGCATGGAGCCGGCGAATGACTCCGCATGGAGCCGGCAATTGACTCCGCATGGAGCCAGCGTATGACTCCGCATGGAGCCGCCGAATTACTCCGCATGGAGCCGCCGAATGACTCCGCATGGAGCCGCCAATGCCTCCGCATGGAGCCGCCAATGACTCTGAATAGAGCCGCCAAATGCTAGATATATAGAGATGCATAACCAGTTGAGAGCATATATTCCATGAATTGGCACTCCCAGAGCGGATCACAAAGTGCAGCTACCTGTGATATTTGTAAGCAGTGCAAGCTCGGTAACGATTGACTAACAGGAACTCGATATCATGGGCTGAGGCCATTGCCACAGCCACCCATGCTTTGGCTGCTGGTGGCCTCTGAATGTTACTCGGGCAGACATGGCTTTCCACCTTCCCGCCTCTCTGAATATCGAGTCCGGCAGCTGATTCGAAACGATTAGCCGGTGTATGACGCCAGGCCATAGCCACAACTGATGAGCAAGATTTTCGCAGTTGCTGCAAAGCCGATCGATTGGCATCTGCTGCTGGTGCCGCTAGCTTTTCCAGGTGCTGCCACAATTGCAAACCACTCTTTGCGATTGGCTGGTCTGCTTGATTGACTGTCCATTGCCCTATCCCCGGTTGCAATTGTTTGCGCACCAGCCAAGTGCACCACTTGCATCAGTGAATAGCAGCAAGTTGGGGGACGGCGTCCACTTAGGGTGTAGGAAGAAGGACCGGCCGTTCTACTATTCCATGAGCTCAGGCCATCAGCGAAGGTATTTCAGGCACTCTTCGGAGAGCTTGATCAGGTAATACGGCTGCCGGTACCAGTTGGCAAGTGACCACAATCTGCAATGTGCGTCCTGGGACTATCACTCTTGTAGCAAACGAGAGCTTTCCCAGAAGATACTCGAGTTGACATTGGGTAGTTGAAACTGTGTTGAGAGTGGCCCGTAGGAGGTCGTGAAGCTTGGCAAGTTCGACCATCGGCAGACTGATGTGAGCGCGCGGATGTCCAGGATGACGCCGATAAACGTCAGGACGTGGGCTGGACCCTCCACTTTTGCTGACGCGAGAGAAACACCGAGGTATGTAAACGCACGGCGCCGAGTAGCGAGTTGCTGGCGAGCTAACACAGGTCCAGAGCATACATCGAGGAAGCACTTTATCTGACGCCAGAGAAACACCGAGGTATGTAAACGCACGGCGCCGAGTAGCGAGTTGCTGGCGAGCTAACACAAGTCCAGAGCATGCATGGAGACAGAAACGTTAGTCGAGGTATTTCCCGTAATGGTAAGATGCCAATAACGTCAGGACTTGAGCTGGACCCTCCACTTTTGCTGGGGCCAGAGAAACACCGAGGTATGTGAACGCTCGGAGCAGAATAGCGAGTTGCTGGCGAGGTAACACAAGTCCCGAGCATGCATTGAGGAAGTAACATTAATTGAGGTATTCCCCGTAATGCAACAGGCGTGGGAGTGCGAACTGCCCGCACACAATCCATTCACTGGCGGATGCGACAGAGTTCCATATAGCTGGCCTGGAGCGTAGTACAGTCTGAAGGGCAGGACGCTCTCATAACAGTATTGATCCTGCCAGCGGTTCAACAAGGGCCACTCATCCGGGCAGACGGGAATTCGGCAGAATGCACTTTTAACATTGAGCTTAGCAAGATACAGCGGGGCGAGCAATTGTGTAATCATGTTTGCAGCATTGTCATCTTGACATTGTGGAGAGACACGGTCTGCTGGAATGTAATCGTTGACACTTCGACCCTCCAGGCTTTACAAAGGGTGTGTCGTGTGTAACTTCCCGTTCGTCTAGGAACCGCATCTACGCCGGAACAGCACAGAGGCGAGAAAGGGGGTGAAGAACACGGGCCAGCTGTTTCAAGCCTGCTGCAAGAAACGAATCGGCCAGCTGCTTCAAGCCTGCTGCAAGAAACGGATCGTTGCGCAGAAATATAATCTGGGTTAGCATGTGACCGTGTTAAATTCAATGGATCCCAGTTAGTTGAGTGGTTGCCGATGAAACCTACCACAACCCCACAATTACGACCATGTGCAACATACCTCCGGAGCATAGGATCAGGATGTGAGTCCAGTAATTTTGAGAAGTGAGAAACTGAGTGCTTACACAGTTACTGATGAGGCCTTACACTTTGCCCTGGGATGCTCCTGTCGGCACTGGAGGTAGCACTGCCTGAGCTGACGCGTGCAAGCGCCGTACTCGTAGTAGCGGCATACGGTTGCGGTACGTGATGCGGATCTGTACTGGTGAGTAGGACGAAATGCGCACGGAAATGCTGGCGAGTGCACTGAGCTGCACTGCTGGCAGGCAGGTCGGGCTGTTCCAGTACACCGCGAGGCGCAGTTGCCACAAGTTGATATTGATAACCTGGCTTTGGAGATTTATTTTATTTTCCATTGCTATCAGGTTCGGCTTAATTCCCTCTGTGCTGCGCTGATGAGTCCACAAAGGACGAAACAGTTGTCCGCAGATTGAGTATTGATAACGTCCAGTTTCTAGGTGGCAAAAACTGGCGATTGGCCGCGACGATCGTGGCCAAATATGTCCACAGGCACTCGTGAAACGCGGTGAGGAACAGTGGAACACAGACCATTCACGAACACTGTCCAGGTCTCAACTCAAGTGCTACCGTCATGCAGCCTACGAAGCGCAGTTCTGGGTTCGGATTCAAATAAATGCTAGTGCGCCAGAAGAGCAACATACGAGGGGCTACGGAGTTGGAACGTCGCCGGAGCTGGACTGACTGCAACTGTATCGGGCATCAGGAAATCGAAGTCCACGAACTCGCCTCTCCGGACGCGATCGAGAAGGGCCCGTATAGGACAGTCGGGTTCACCTGCTGTTGGTGCTGCATGCGCATATGGCGGTCGTCACTGCACCGGGCTCCCAGTAAGGTCCGGCCTGCTGGCGGCGAGCGGCGATACGGATCCAAGTAGAGCGAGGAGAAGCTGGGTGGCGTTGGTGACGGCAGTGGACAACTCCCGTTGTTACTTCCAACAGAAAATCAAAGTCCACGAACTCGCCTCTCTGGATACGAATTACGATCGTCAGGCTCGCGCCTGCTGTTGCAGTGGTGGTGCTGCGTGGCGGCCGTCGCTGCGTTCGCAGTAGGCGGGCGGCGGAGCCAGGTAGAGAGAGGCAATCCGGAGAGGCTGGACGCCGGTTGGTGACGACGACATTGTTTCAAGGCACAAACAAGGGTCGCTGAGATCGCGTGGAGGTACTTCATTTCAGGAAACCTGATGATGGCGCAAGCTAAAAAACCACAGTCGACGTTCCACTGTAGACAACGACATTGTTTCAGGCACCAACAGGCACCAACAGGCGTCATTGAAGTCTGAATTGAAACGTAGAGATACGAGAATGCAAGCTTGAAAGTCTAACGAAAGGAAATTGTTTCGGGAACACCTGTTCCGCAAGTTGCACGCTCGAAAGTCCAAACAGCAATGACATGAAAGAGAAACTGTACAGGATATTGAAGGGCGCGTGCCCACGTGACTCGCGCATGCGTGCAGGTTGGGCCAGCTCGCTGGGCTGGCTGCTAACGCGCGTTAGCATGCTAACGCTCATTTAAATTTTGTCAAGTCCCAGAGATTATGTATTAACGAGGGACGACGTCTACTACCAACCACTTCGCCAGGCACGGACGGTCTCACATTCATATAATGGTTATGCGGTGCAATCCTTTAGCTAAGGACCACCTATATTCGACCTTCCGCCACAGCACGTTATCTTGGCCTCATTATTGACCAACACCTCACCTTTGAGGATCAAGTCAGCCATGTATGTACATCTGTTTATAAGAAGATAGGAGCATTCCGCCGCTGCCGCCGTACAGTAGACCACACAACTAAGCGAATAGTTTATTTATCCCTCATCCAATCCACTATTGAATACGCCAGCAACTCGTATGCTCACTGTCTTACACCATCTTTATACTCTCGCCTTGTTACTTTAAGTCATATCAGTATGAAACAGGTTTTTGGTCTCCCTCGCCGTACCCCGACTGTCTTTGTTTTGCGGCACGCTAAGTTATACTCCCTCGAATCTCGTCTCAACTTGAGGCTTTTTATTTTTGTTTTCCGCTGTATTCATCAGCTTACAAGTCCTCTTCTTTCCTCAATGTTCACCCTCCAGCCGGCTGCTACTTGCACCGAGAGGCGCACTAGAGGGCAATCATTCTCTTCACTTTCTTTGCCCGCTGCTACCACTAGATATGGCATGTTCTCTATTTCTTTCCTTGGCACTGATAGGTGGAATTCTCTGCCTGTCTCGTGTCGTCAGGTTGAGCATCTATCCGTTTTTGTTTCGCTCTGTAAAGAGCACTTAGGGTTCCCTGTAACAAGACGGCAACGTCTGTAGGGCCTTCCCTATCAAAATAATAAATTCTACTACCACTACTACTACTACTACTACTTGCCACTAAAGACCACCTGCCAATAAAGACCGCTTTCTCTGGCCCCAAGGGGTGTACGTTAGTTACATGTTACTACTGTGTATGCATCCATGTTAATGGGGTCGTTCTCGGCACTTGTGCCAGTGGTTGTGAGACTTGCCCACTCACCCCACCGTTAGGCGCTGCATCTGCCGCTAGGGTTTACCGGGTGTTAGCGGCCGTCGACCTGCTTGAATGTTGCTTGCAGGCACTAAATCACTAAAATGATGTAATAACGGAATTCCGCCGTGACAGCAACCCATCAGAGCTGCACACTCTGGGTGTCACGTACTACTCTCCATGCCAACGAAAAAAGGGCTACGTGAGCTAGCGTCTCTCACCTGCTAAAAGAAGACATGCCGGGCATTGGCTGTTGCAGAATGCTAGGACGCTTTCTGGTCTCAGACTTATAGGCAAAGAAAGCGGCCAGCATGATCACGACCACACAGGTCAGAGCACCCACGCCAGTGATGAACATTGCCTGGGCTCCGGCATCTTGCTGACCTGGTTACCATACACAGCAGTTAAAGGACACAGCGGTTAAAGGACACCATTGTTAAAGGACACAGCAGTTAAAGGACACAGTGGTTAAATGACAAACCAGTTCAAGGACACAGCGGTTAAAGGACACCTCGGTAAAAGAACACAGAAGTTAAAGGACACAGTGGTTAAATGACAAAGCAGTTCAAGGACACAGCAGTTAAAGGACACAGCAGTTAAAGGACACAGCAGTTAAAGGATAAAGGCAAGATGTTCGAAAAGAACACTAGAAAAACAAAGAATCGGGGTTGAGAAAAATATACTAGTCTCGCGAACAGTGGCACACTGTGTGTGCATGTGTGCGTGTATGTGTGTGTGTGTGTGTGTGTGTGTGTGTGTGTGTGTGTGTGTGTGTGTGTGTGTGTGCGTGTGTGTTTGTGGGGTGTGTGTGTGTGTGTGTGTGTGTGTGTGTGTGTGTGTGTGTGTGTGTGTGTGTGTGTGTGTGTGTGCGCGCGCACATCTGTCTGCGCGTATGTGTGTGCGCGCATGTGAGGGATTCGCTGGGGAGAAAAAAGGCCACTTTAATCTGCTGTGTCATGGAGACCAGGTGAATGTTGCATAGTAAACACACAGTGCCCACATACCACAATATGCTGTCATATAGGTATCTAAGCAGATAACCAAAAACAGAAATTTCTATTTCAAAGCCATATCCCTTCATCTACTAGGCTGTCTTCAATGGCAACAGTTACGGGGTTTCCACTTACCACTTTTAGCGTTGGTGCTGATGTTGCACACATAGCCATCACCAAAGTATCCCGGTAGACATTGGCAGTTGAATGAAGAATCTGCCAGCGCTGCAACCGTGCCCGCTGCTGCTGTTGTCGCTGCTGCAGGTGTTGTTGTTGCCATGGTCACTGCAGTCGTCTCGTCACCAGTGCTGCAGCGTGCGTTGCGACTGCAGTTGTGTGTGCCGGTCACGCAGTGGTCCACGGACGCGCACTCCACGCCGTCGCCGGCGAAGTGCTCGCGGCACGTGCACTCGTACGAGCCGTTCAGGTTGATGCAGGTGCCGAACAGTGCGTGGCAGCTGTGCGTTCCCTCCCAGCACTCGTTCACTTCCGTGCACAGCGCGCCGTCCTCGCGATAACCAGCGAGACAGGGACACGAATACGAGCCGTTCGTGTTCACACAGTCGGCGCCCTGGAGACAGGCATCCATCGTCTGCTCGCACTCGTTCACATCCTCGCAGACAGTGCCGTCGCCGCTGTAACCCACCGGGCAGCTGCACTTGAACGCGCCGACCTCGTTGATGCACTCTCCCACCGCCAAGTCGCAGTTGTGCAGGCTACTAGCCTCCTCGCACTCGTTTATGTCCGAGCAGTTGCTGTGACTGTCGCCGGTAAAGCCGGTCAGGCATGCACAGCGATAGGAGCCGACTACGTTGCGGCAGGCGGCGTTACCAGCGCAGATACCCACGCGCAAACACTCATCAATGTCGTTGCACACCGTGTGACCGTCGCCGTCGTGACCAAACGGACAGCTGCACGTGTACGAACCCAGCGTATTGTTGCAGATTGCATTGGACGCACATGTGGACGCCGCACTGCACTCATTCACATTGCTGCAGGTGTATCCGTCGCCGGTGAACCCGGCCTTGCACAAACAACCGTACGCCCCGGCCGTGTTCGTGCAGTGAGCGTTCTCGCTGCACGCGTTATCCTCAGGCGTCACACACTCAACGATGTCCGTGCAGAACGCTCCGTCGCCGGTGTACCCCGTGGCGCACTTGCACTCAAACGAGCCTCTCGTGTTGGTGCAGTTCGCGCCGACGGGCGGGCACACGGGCGGGCCGGCCTGCGTGCACTCGTTGATGTCCTGACAGGAGTCGCCGTCCCCTGCACAGAACACAGATTCAAAAACTCATGTGCACCCCCTAACAATTTCGACCTAGGTTCAGCATGCTCATGTCGTCTTGCGCAAAGGACGAACTATTTCTCTACGCTTTCGCCACGCCACACAACAAAAGGCCTGAGAAATAAGTAGTTCTCGATACCGAGAGAGAAAGCTATTCAGTACCACACATCAAGTGCGTTCGAGAGAAGTCACAACTTATAACTGGCAAAAGGAAACATATTTCGGAAATTGGTGCCCTCATCAGCACAAAAAGTGGTGTACTCGATATCAGCACAAAAAGGTGCACGTGTGAGCAATACAATAAAGCAGCGCAACAGCATGCACCATGGGTCAGCAGCATGTACGGGTCAGCAGCATGTACGACACAGAGATACAAATACAGCAGCAGGTACGACAAAGAGACACAACTTCACAAGCGCAGCCACATCTACAACACTCATAACGACCGTGAATGACCTGCACCAGCCACCCTACACATATGCGGTCGTGCACCTCCCAATTATGAAGCCCACTGAGACTGGCTATATGTATAGGATATAACCCGAGTCAGAGGGTTCTACCGGCTGAAAATAAATCCCGACTGCGACAGCAGGAGGGATTTATATGAGGGTACGGTATACCCCGACTACGAGGGTGATATCCTACTTATGCCAGGTACCCCTACGCATTTCGAGAACAAAGAACCTATTTGGAGATCTCCTACATCATACAGTACATGAAGATGTTCTGCTGGTTATCAGTTGTCAATTGAAAGAATGGTCGAGCAAGGTCAGAAGGAGATTCCTCCGTGGATGTTTTGGCATAAGATTTCCTTTCAGTTCCAGTGCATATTGAAGCATATTGTCTCGTGAGCGATGCAGAAGCCAACTGAATTGCTGGGGTGCTGGAGTTGTCGTTGAATCAACTTACCGTCACTAGTAAGCCTACAGTACAGTTTGGACTCTTTGGGAGTAAGTGTTACTATTATCATGAAATCGTGCAGTGCTGATTTTCACATGCGGCATCTTATAATCAGGTTTGCTTACCTGCAAGTAGATGCATTTGCATACACTGTTTTGTATCACTGTATCACATTTCACTCCATTCTAGCGTTTTCCAATCGGTCTTATGGTGGATTTAAAAGCATGGAGTAGTGTATTGTACTACTCTCTGATTTAATTAAAGTACACTCTGTATCATAAACTTAGTTACCAAGGAGACAGTCTGTAGATGCTCTTCAACTATTCGAAAAACAATGTACATTGCTGATCCATTCGGGATACGTCGTGGTTATCTGATGTTCTTTATCCTCAGTTTCAGTATAATAGAATACTCGGTAGACGTATTCCAGGTCATTTTTTCTTTTCCATTGTGTACTGTTCCTCGTCAGTAATGCCGTTCTTTGTGGAGTGTACACGTGCATGTGGTGTATGTTGTGTCTGTAGTGAATGGTCCGTGCGCTGGAGTACTGCCGTCTTACAAGTTACTTCACTGCCTTTCAGTTAGTGAACTTGTACGGTGGCAGTGCCCTAGCGTACGTACCGTGCACCGAGATTTATACTCAATATAAATATCGCCCGGGATTTATACTCAATATAAATCTTGCGCGGGATTTATACTGGCCAATATAACCATGGCTACATGAGCGCTGATTGGCTGAAAACAGCCCCTTCGTGCCGTACCATGGTATAAAGTCGAATATCTCTCCGTGCCTTTAAAGGTGCGGATATACCGTAAGCGGCCCTTGCGCCTTCCTAAAAGGGGGGGGGGGGGGGCAGCTACGCCCCTGATGGCAATAAGATGGCGACAAACTAAACAGCATTTCTCGAAGTGTCTGGTTTTCAATTGTGCCCGTTAGTATTGTTCCATGCCTACCATTCAACCCATCAAGAACATAAGAATCGCACCAGGCAGACCACATTCACGATTCGCGTGAGCCTCGGCTAGCGGCTGAGTGGTTCTGCATCCGTTGGAACGCCACCACCCTCAAAGATAAAAGATCAAGGATCACCTTACAGAAGATACCGTATAAGCTGCACTTTGAACAATCAATTTCCACCTCAAATGGGGGGGGGGGGGTGGCTTTTACTCCGCTGATCAAATTAACGGTGATAAATAGGGTAGATGTCTGTTTGTCAATTCTTGCGGGAATAGCGACATCGTTTGCAAGGTTCCTTGCCCCTTTCCCACTAAGACCCGTGCGAATCAGAGTTGCCATACTGCCAATGCAAGTAAGTCACCAGGAGTTTTCTGATGACATTGTCCTGGACTTCTCTGACTCGGATAAATATCTTGTGTGCAATGTTCTCTCAAGTGCTGTCTCGAAACTTGCTGATTGGCTGTGCAGTATTGGACTTGTTCTGAACTCCGCCAAAACGCAAGTGTTGTTCGTCCAGCCCCGTGGCCGTCCCAGTACCATGCCTGGTATTTACTGCAACGATATCCGTCTGTCAGTCACTACCACAGCTAAGTATTTTGGAGTCCTTGTGGACGACCAACTCTCTTGGCAACCGCATGTCAAACAAGTTGTACGCAAAGTGTCTGTTGCTGTGGGACAGCTCTGGCGTCATGGACGAGCACTTTCAATCACTGCACGCCGCCTATGGTACATAGCAATAATTCAGTCAAGGATCACTTATGCATCTGATACCTTTTTTCCGTGCCTCACAAAGCAGTAAGTCACCTGCCTACTGAAAGTCAGCAAGTCTGGCGTTCGCGCCATATTCCAATTGCATGGCGCCGTGCCCACTGGGCCACTGCCAACACGCCTCTCACTTTATTCTGTTGAGCACCTTTTCATCTACAAAGTCTTGCAGTTCGTCTTTCGTTGTCTGTCCTCATCAGTCAGCAAATTGTTTCTGCCTTACTTCAAGCTGATCTCTGTCGACTCTGCCGTGCACGGGGATCGTCCCTTCACAAGGGGTCAAGCCACTCAGCTCAGTTCTCCGTATCCCTTTTCTCCCTGGACAATCTGGACGGCACACTGAGCATTTCCTTGGTAGCTCCCTCTGGAATGCCCTATCTGACCATATCAGAATTCTCGCCAATCTTGCGTTATTGAAATCCTCTATCTTTGATCTTGATCTGCCATCTCTTCATGCATGATTTACTCCATTCGGCAATGCAAGACTTGATCATTTGGCAAGTCCTCCTCTTCTTCCTTCTCTCTCTCGTTCATCTCTATCTCTCTCTCTACGTCTCCCTCTCTCTATCTACCTGTAGTGGATGCACATCCCACTGTTTGTCATTGTATCCTTTTATGTAACATGTATGCATTCATCCGGCCGCGCTGTGCGACATGCCAGTTGTACCGTACGCACTTTAGCTGTACCTGCCTGCCTGGCTTTTCCTTTGATCTCTCTGTCGTTCTCTGTATTCCCACACACTTGTGATTTGTAGTAACGAAGCTAGTTAGGCCCTCATCAGACTACGTACATAGAAAATCCAGTACAAAATCACATAAAACCTAAAAGGCAACATTTTTCCATGCCTGCTTTCAGACTACACATTTTACATGCAATATGCAGGCAACCTTTGACCCTACGAAATTGCGCAAGGGGCCTGGGATAGTGTCGTGTCCCGATGCGATGTCAACGCCTCCTGATGCGCCTGCTCACGTACAATCCAGCCGCCGTGTATGTCCCTGGCAAAGAGCTAGTTGTTGCCGATGCTCTATCTCGTCCTCCGCTCGCCTGTGACGACACGCCTAGTCTCCAAGACGAGATCAGCATCAACCTCACATCTTACATCGCTGAGATCGTGTCGGATATTAAAGCCCGTGACATTGCTGACGCCACCACACAAGATGAGACGCTCAAGCAAGTCCTCCACTTTGTCCAACACGGATGGCCGTGCAACCCACGTGATGTCGACGACACTGTGCGCCCATACTTCCATGAACGCCAGTTACTGTCCTGTGAGCAAGGTGTGCTGTACCATGGTTTCCGCATTGTCATGCCACCCTCTCTGCAGCCTGAGATGCTCGAGAAGCTCCACGAGGGACATCAAGGTGCAACGAAGTGCAAGTCTCGCGCCCGCCATTCCATTTGGTGGCCAGGCTTGTCAAGGCAAATCGACACGATGGTCGCTACGTGTGAAGTGTGCACCAAACACCGCGTCCAGTCGACCGAACCACTGCAACCCGTCCAACGCCCAACACTGCCGTGGCACACGGTTGGTGCAGATCTGATGGAATTCAACGGCACAACTTACCTCGTCATTGTTGACTATCTCTCGCGTTACCTCGATGTCGTACCGCTGACTGCCACAACCTCGATTGCTGTCATCAAGCATTTGCACCGCATCTGTGCCGAGCATGGTTTCCCGTCCACCTTGGTTACAGACAACGGTCCTCAGTTTGCCAGCGAAGCGTTTACTGAGTTCTGCACAGCAAACGACATCACCCATCGCACTTCCAGTCCACGGTATCCTCAGTCGAATGGCGAAGCGGAACGTGCAGTTCGCACCGCCAAAAATCTCCTGCGGAAGGCCGAAAGCCTGCAAGATGCACTCTTGGCTTACCGCACGACACCGCTGAGCAACGGCTATGCCCCATGTCAGCTATTGTATGGCCGCCAGCTCCGTACCGGTCTACCTGCAACGACTGAGCAGCTGGAACCGAAATGGCCAGATCTCCCTAGTATTCTGGAATCGGAAACTCAGTCCCAGGAACAGCAGAAGTTGCACTACGACCAACGGCATGCAGCTAAGCCTCTCGCGACTCTACAGCTTCATGACCATGTATTCATCACCGATCTCGAACGGGAGGGCAAGATAGTAGAGCAAGTGTCCAATCGTTCTTACCTCGTTGAGTCTGGTCACTCTACTGTTCGCCGCAATCGTCGTCACTTGATCCGACTGCCACTGCCAGAAGCAGAGAAGCCGACAGTCGAGGTTGAGTACGGTGGCCCAGCAGCTGATCCAGTCCGTCGCTCTGCTAGAGCTCCTCAGCCTGTCAACCGCCTCATTGAATCATGCTAATTCAGCAACGTGCTGAGACGCATCTGCCGTCGTCTCTGCACATCACTCTTTCACTGCAACTTGCTCTACAAACAATACCTACATTATCGAATAGTCTTTGGACTCCTCATCTTCTCTATTATAGCCTGTTTAATCTCAGAGGGGAGATGTAGTGGATGCACATCCCACTGTTTGTCATTGTATCCTTTTATGTAACATGTATGCATTCGTCCGGCCGCGCTGTGCGACATGCCAGTTGTACCGTACGCACTTTAGCTGTACCTGCCTGCCTGGCTTTTCCTTTGATCTCTCTGTCGTTCTCTGTATTCCCACACACTTGTGATTTGTAGTAACGAAGCTAGTTACAAGATGTCTTTGGTGCGTTTGTAGAACCACTACACTACCTATCTCTCTCTCTCGCTCTCTCTCTCTCTCTCTCTCTCTCTCTCTCTCTCTCTCTCTCTCTTTCTCTCTCTCTCACACTCTCTTCCCCCCCCCCCTTTCCCTGTCTCTCTCTCTCCCTTCCCCCCCCTTTTACTGTCTCTCCCTATACTTTTATCATAAAACACAAGTAGCATCTTCACCATCCACAGTCCTTCAATATGGAATCCACATACTGCCCTCTCCATATTTTTAGTATGGAATATATAGTTGACAAAGTACCACTTTTTTTCTTTTCTTTTGCTTCACATTATCATATTATTCATCAATTAGTAGGAGCCGTTGTTAGCTCTGGCCATCCCGGCGAAAAGGCAGATATGCCTGTTCGATTGGTGAATAAGAATAAAAAAACCATACCATACCATACCTTTGTATCCTGAATTACATGAACAACTGAAGTTACCAATGCTGTTCTGACAAGTGGCATCCGACGAACAGTCGTGAAGATCACGTGCACACTCGTCCACATCTGAACAGTAGGTACCTGGACCTTCATAACCTGGGTCACATGAGCAATTATGGCCTCCCGCTGTGTTGGAGCACATAGCGTTGTCATGACAATCATGGCCACCATTCTGACATTCGTCGTGATCGATGCAGTCCGTGCCGTTATCTGAAGTATACAAACACATGAAAAGACAAGGCCAGATTTTTGAACTGATCTCAGGCAATTAGATACACAAGCTCTTTGAGGGGCAGAGGTGCTATCAATTTTCTGATCTGGGAGTGACGACAGGAAAATTCAACTTCAAAGTATCTTTGAATGGAAATCAATACCGTATTCTTCGGAGTATAATCTTCACTGGGGTATAATTACTTTTAAAACCCTTTGAGGACTGAGGATGACTTAACTCATCCAACAACAATTACGCTGTATTCCCGACGGTACTGACGTTCTATGTTCTACGCCGGTCAGGGCCGTGCAATGTCGTCGCATGAGTTGATTGCTCAGTAACCGTTGGTGTTAGTGGACGTTATAGCGTAACTGGTAGTTTCTTGGTCCTTTTTTCTTTACTATAAATTGATCCTTGAACAGCTAGTACTTTCATGGGAAAATGCGACTTTTACAGGTGTTGACATGGGGCACGGTCAGCTAGCGTCGTGCTGAAAGAGGATAAACACACATAGGAGTTTACTTTTGGAAATCTATTTGGCACACCTTTCTGAATCACACTGAATGCGAGCGAGCCTTACACACCGGCGTGGAAAGCAATGCATGAACTGCAATAGGAAAAAGGAGAAGACCGTCGGCAAGTATCCTCTACTTTGCACGCATTTCAGCTCCATCTGTTTGAGATGTGCCAAATGATGACATCATTAGCAATATTGAAAGAAGAATCAGATCACTATACAGGTGGAATCCTGATAATTCGAATATGGCTTAATTCGAACATACCGCTTAATTGGAAGTTTTTCCAGGAACGATTTCAGTCAATACGATTCCCATCTAAAAATTCTGATAATTCGAACCTCGAACCTGACATGCCCGGTTAATTAGAAGTCCCACAGATTCCACTTACATAGAAAATGGGTGGGATTTGTGCTGATAATTCGAAGTTAGCAAAGTATAATTCGAAGTTCACTGCACACTGCACTGGTCAGTTCAGTTTGCATGAGCAGGCTGTGCCAGTCAGTTCAATGTGCTTAAAATCTGTGCCTAAGGTCCACAGCACAACTCTATGTGACCATGAGAGCATTTTGAAATACATATGGGTTGTGGGTTCATGTTTGGATAATTAGAATGTCCGGATAATTGGAAGTTTTTTTCCTGGCATTTTGAGTTTCAAATTATCAGGATTCCACCTGTACTTACAAACACAAGAGTAGTGAGTACCCAGTTGACCGTGGGTGTCGGAAAATCTACATCAAAATGAATCTACCTTTATATCCTTGATGACAGACACACACATAGCTTCCTTCGGTGTTTGAACACGTTGAATGAGCATGACAGTTGGTAGTGTAAGAACTATTAAAACATTCATCAATATCCACGCAAGATACTCCATCCTTCAAGTAACCAGTAAAGCAATTACAACGGAAAGAACCAGGAACGTCGTCACATTCAGAGTTTACACTGCACACTGGTACAGCTCCACCACATTCATTATTGTCTTGGCATGTCTCTCCATTGCCAGAGTAACCATTCCTGCAACTGCAAGTAAAGTTTCCTGCACTGTTGCTACAGATAGCATCAGAATGGCAGTTGTGAGCGCCAGTTGAGCATTCATCTATTTCAGTACACTGCTGTCCATCTCCACTGTAACCAGTTTTGCAACTGCAATCAAACTTTCCCTCACTGTTCGTGCAGATTGCATCAGCATGGCAAGAGGTTATCACCAAACACTCGTCCACATCAGAACATGACGAAATCCCATCACCTGAGAAACCACTATCGCACTTGCACGTATACGAACCGACATTATCTGTGCAGCTAGAGTTCGAGGTGCAGGTTGATGAATTGGAACATTCACGGATGTTTGTGCAGTTTATGCCATCGCCGTGAAAACCACTATTACATGTACAATTGTAGAAACCCTTTTTGTTTGAACATGTTGCATCACTGTGACACATGTTGTCCTTGGAACTCGAACATTCATTTATGTCCACACAGAACTTTCCTGTTCCGGTATAACCATGTTTACATGCACAAGTAAAACTTCCAACGGTGTCCGTACAGTTGGCATTCTCGTCACACGGTGATTTCAGGCACTCCTCAACATTCACACAACTCTTTCCATTACCCTTGTATCCTGAGTTACATGAACAACTGAAGCTACCAATGTTGTTCTGACAAGTGGCATCCGACGAACAGTCGTGAAGATCACGTGCACACTCGTCCACATCTGAACAGTAGGTACCTGGACCTTCATAACCTGGGTCACATGAGCAATTATGACCTCCCACCGTGTTGGAGCACATCGCGTTGTCATGGCAATCATGACCGCCATTCTGACATTCGTTGTGATCAGTGCAGTTCGTCCCGTTACCTGAAGTGTACAAAAACATGAGCACATTATGACCAGCACTCAGTTTCATGTTAATGAATTTTCTTAAAATGTGCAAATGGCAACGGTCTGTGCATAGGTCAATATGATTCGATGATTCGACCTTGCTGCATTTTACACTGACTTTTCGACAATTCAGGGGGGGGGGGGGTGATGCACCCGATGCGGATCTCAAACCGTGCGCACCCCCTAACAATTTCGACCTAGGTTCATCATGCTCGTAATGACCATGAATGACATGCACCAGCCGTCCTACACATATGCGGTCGTGCACCTCCCATTTATGAAACCCATAGCTTTATAGCTGAGACTGGCTATGTAGAGGATATAACCCGAGTCAGAGGGTTATACCGGCTGAATACAAATCCCGACTGCGATAGTGTAACAGGTAGCCGAGTGGTAGGCGCGGTGTGATCAACAAGAGTTAGTTTTATTCTTCTCTTCTCTCAGGTACACACCTGGGATATAATTATTAGTGAAAGAAGAAGCGGCAAACGAGAGAGCTTGGAAGCTCAGGGCCCTGCGCTATGCTTTGTTGCCTAGCTCATAGTGCATGTTGTTCGAACTGATGGAAATGCTTTTTCCTTTGATTAGCTAGATCATTATAATGCAAAAACGTTGCAATGAGATACTGAAGTAACGTCTTCTGCATAGCTATGGGACCGGCGCTGACTCTGCCGATCATGGGCGTTATGGAGTCGACGGGATGTCTGTCCTGATGTTTCCTGGGACCGGCGCTGACTGTGCCGATCAGGGGCGTTCTTCTTCTTCTTCTTCTTCTTCTTCTTCTTCTTCTTCTTCTTCTTCTTCTTCTTCTTATTATTATTATTATTATACTTACGGCAACTAACATCCATTTTGATTGCATTTACTCATCTCCCTACTTCGTATTTCTTTCCAGAAAATCTCCCCATACAGCAGGGAGTCGTTTACATAATATGACTCCCTGCTATACATCTACATGACTGTATATACGTTATAATTATTGTGCTATCGGCCTACATGCGATTCCCGGGCTGGTCGACAGGCGGCCCAGCCAGCCTGCTAGTGTGATCTCGGCCTTGCAGACAAATCCACACAAAATGTTACTGCACTGAATGCATTCCCCCGGTACACTTCGCATATATACTCATTCTCTTGATGGTACCGTACTCTTGATGGTACGGGACAGGTACGGGATAGCGCCAGGCATGTCGATGGCACAAACAAACAAAAATATTGTGGCCAGCTGTCTTTGCTGGTATGGCACAGTACGGGACAGATACGGGATAGCGCCAGGCGTGACACAAACAAACACCAAATTAAAGCTGTGTGGACCCTGGCTAGCGCCAGACGTTACTGAAGTAACGTCTTCTGCATAGCTACGGGAATAGATAACTTTCTCTCCGGTGCACACCTAAAGGTTGACTACTTCTTCTTCGAGTTAGCTTTGTCGTTGCTATCTAATCTAATCTAATTAAAACAGAAATGCGCAGCCGCTTTAATGCAGCAGACGCCGTACGCTTACATTCGGAGATACACTAAATATACATCAGGCAAAGCTCCGTATTAGTTCCGTACTACTTCCGTGTTGGTCGGGCAGGGATACTACACCCTCCCTTCCTACAGATAATCACGCCCTCGTGATTTTCAAATTATTAGTGAAGAGTTATGAACACAGTGTCAACCGGAAGATGGCAAATTATATCGGAATTGATAACATTTAGAGTCTTCTGCATAGCTACGGGAATAGATAACTTTCTCTCCGGTGCACACCTAAAGGTTGACTACTTCTTCTTCGAGTTAGCTTTGTCGTTGCTATCTAATCTAATCTAATTAAAACAGAAATGCGCAGCCGCTTTAATGCAGCAGACGCCGTACGCTTACATTCGGAGATACACTAAATATACATCAGGCAAAGCTCCGTATTAGTTCCGTACTACTTCCGTATTGGTCGGGCAGGGATACTACACCCTCCCTTCCTACAGATAATCACGCCCTCGTGATTTTCAAAATATTAGTGAAGAGTTATGAACACAGTGTCAACCGGAAGATGGCAAATTATATTGGAATTGATAACGTTTAGAGTAGACAGAAGAAATGAACTGATAACAAATCATAACATAGAAGTAAAAGCACACCAGGTTCACACGATCTCTCGGGGTCAAAAGGGAAAGAATGGTCCTCCAAACAGGACGTGAAAGACAGCCAAATTTCTGCACATCGCGGGCTCAAACTGCCAGGAAATTCACAATTTCCAAAAAAATGCACTGCATCGTGGGAACTTGCTCCGGTACACACCTGGAGTGTAAAAGGGGATTCTCACACACTTCTCTCACCAGGTTACTTAGGTAAACCGTGGCTCACCATGATCAGACGCCTACCAAACTAAACTGGATTCACACACTCGCATTAAGGAAGACTGAAGAGAACAGGGAGACTGAAGGAAGACAGGAAAGAAAATGCCATACCTGGAATCAGCGTTAGTAACCACGGCGGCGGCTGGAGCTATGGCGGAGGGCAGGCCAGGTTTTATCTTCATCTTGGTTGAGCGGGTCACTCAGAGCGGCTAGCTCGGCGTCAGACAAATGACTTCCCTCCTCGTCACATTGTCGATAGCATCGCTTTGCGCGACGTAAAGAGTGATGGTCTAGCCAGGAAGAGTGGTGACGAAAATCTGCATCCCACCACGGAGGCGAAGTGCCAAGTGAAGAGTGGGCTCCTGCTTCCGACTGCGTGCCGGCGAAAATCAAACGCTGCTGGTCTTGGGGAATACCCTCCTTGTCTTGGGCAGTAGCCTGCCTGTTGTCGTCCTCATCAGCTTCGCCATCACCACTGGTAGTATACATGTAGGTAGCGGGTCGCTTGGAATCGCCATCGGAGTCTCCAGTGGATGCCATGCGGAGGGAAGGGTGATCCACGCTAGCACCCTGACTGTGCTGCAAGCTAATAAGCAGGGCCAAGCCCAGGAAGGCAAGAAACATGATTCTCATCTTGATTCGTCGCAGGGAGCTGCAACGGGTTGAGCCATGGGGGTCTGCGGTCGAATCACGTTGTTTTATTTAAAACGACACCGCTGCCACCAATGTAACAGGTAGCCGAGTGGTAGGCGCGGTGTAATCAAGAAGAGTTAGTTTTATTCTTCTCTTCTCTCAGGTACACACCTGGGATATAATTATTAGTGAAAGAAAAAGCGGTAAATAAATAACTTTCTCTCCGGTGCACACCTAGAGGTTGACTACTTCTTCTTCGAGTTAGCTTTGTCGTTGCTATCTAATCTAATCTAATTAAAACAGAAATGCGCAGCCACTTTAATGCAGCAGACGCCGTACGTTTACATACGGAGATACACTAAATATACATCAGGCAAAGCTCCGTATTAGTTCCGTACTACTTCCGTATTGGTCGGGCAGGGATACTACAATAGCAGGAGGGATTTATATAAGGGTACGGTATAACCCTACTTTGAGGGTCCTATCCTACTTATGCCAGGTACCCCTACGCATTTCCAGAACAACGAACCTATTTGGAGATCTCCTACATCATGCAGTACAAGTACATGAACATCTTCTGATGGTCATCAGTTGTCAATTGAAAGAATGGTCGAGCAAGATTAGAAGAGGATTCCTCCGTGGATGTTTTGGCATAAGATTTCCTTTCAGTTCCAGTGTATATTGTAGCATTTTATGATCTTGGCTCGTGAGCGGTGCGGAAATCAACTGAATTGCTGGAGTGCTGGAGTTGTCGTTGAACCAAACTACTGTGACTAGTTAGATTACAGCTTGGACTCTTTGGGAGTAAGTGTTACTATAACTATGGCACAGTGCTGATTTTCACATGCGGCATCTTATAATTATTAGTTTTGCTTACTACTTGCAAGTAGATGCATTTCCATACACTGTTTTGTATCATTGTGTCACAATTCAATCCAAGCTAGCATTTTCCAATCGGTTTGAAGTACACTTTTTATCATAAATTTAGTTACGAAGGAGACAGTCTGTTGATGATCTTCAACTCTTTCAAGTACAATGTACATTGCTGACCCATTCGGGATACTTCGTGGTTATTCGACGTTCTTTATGTTCAGTATAATAGAATACTCTGTAGACGAATTCCAGGTCATTTTTTCTTTTCCATTGTGTGCTGTTCCTCGTCAGTTATGCTGTTCTGTGTGGAGTGTACACGTGCATGTGGTGTCTATTGTTTCTGTTGTGAATTGTCCGTGCGCTGGAGTACTGCCGCTGTACAAGTTCACTGCCTTTCAGCCAGTGAACCTGTACGGTGGCAGTGCCCTAGCGTACGTACCGTGCACCGGGATTTATATTCGATATAAATCCTGCGCAGGAATTATACTGGCCAATATAACCATGGCTAGACGAGCACTGATTGGCTGAATACAGGCCCTTCGTACAGTACCATGGTATAATTAGTCGATAACCTCTCCATGCCTTTGAAGGTGCGGATATACCTTAATCGGCCTTTCACCTTCCTAAAAGGGGGACCAGCGGATATGCCGTAAGCGGCCTTCCACCTTCCTAAAAGGGGGACCAGCAGATAAACCGTAAGCGGCCTTGCACCTTCCTAAAAGGGGGACCAGCAGATATGCCGTAAGCGGCCTTGCCCCTTCCTAAAAGGGGTATCAGCGGATATACAGTAAGCGGCCTTGCACCTTCCTAAAAGGGGGACCAGCGGATATGCCCTATGCGGCCTTACACCTTCCTAAAAGGGGGACCAGCGGATATACTGTAAGCGGCCTTGCACCTTCCTAAAAGGGGGACCAGCTACGCCCCTGAACGCAACAAGATGGCGCCAGACTAAACAGCATTTCCCTAAGCGTCTGGTTTTCAATTGTGCCTGTTTATAGTACGGCGCCAGGCCTACCATTCAACACATCAAGAACATAAGAACCGCACCAGGCAGAACACATTCACGATCCCCGTGAGACTCGGCTAGAGGTTGAATGTTTCCGCATCCTCTGGAACGCCACCACGATCGAGGATGAAAGATCAAGGATCACCTTACAGAAGATACTGTCTAAGCCGCACTTTGCACACTCAATTTTCACCACCCAAAAGGGGGGGAGGGTGTGGCTTATACTGCGCTGATCAAATTAACGGTAATAAATAAGTTAGATGTCTGTTGTTCGTAGAAAAAATGAGGGAGGGGCTCACACTATGGAAAAAATGATACCCCCATATGAACCGTATCCAGACTTCCAAGTTGCGGCCGTCTCGGTCTGCCTGGCACCCTGTTGAGGAGTCCTACTGGAACAATCATTACTATTCGTTTGTCAATTCTTGCGGGAATAGCGACGTCATTTGCCAGGTCGCTGCCCCTTTCCCACTGAGACGCATGCGATTCCGAGTTACTGGCGCTGCAAAGTGCAAATGCATAGGCAGTGCCCGGTCTTGGATTGCCCCAAATAAGAGAGATATGAGTGCAGCTAGCGGCTATACTGCATATCGATAATTTTCACCAAACAAAAAAGTTTAGTTAGGACCCTCGCCCACCCAAGAAATAGATGATTGACTTGACAGCAAGAATGCCTTGATGTATCTCATATCAATATTTCCAAAACGCAACTCCCCTTGGCTCACCCGCTCATAGACGAAACTTATGCTCTTCGTTTCAAAAATGGATGGCTATGCCCCTTAGAGTACCAAAAAGTCCTGAGTTTAATAGCTTTACCATTGTGTCCTTGATGGCAGACGCACACATAGCTTCCTTCGGTGTTTGAGCACGTTGAATGAGCATGACAGTTGGTAGTGTAAGAACTATTAGTACATTCATCGATATCCACGCAAGATTTTCCATCCTTCAAGTAGCCAGTACTGCAATTACAACGGAAAGAACCAGGAACGTTGTGACATTCAGAGATTACACTGCACACTGGTACAGATCCACCACATTCATCCTTGTCTTCGCATGTCTCTCCATTGCCAGAGAACCCATTCTTGCAACTGCAAGTAAAGTTTCCTGCACTGTTGCTACAGATAGCATCAGAATGGCAGTTGTGAACGCCAGTTGAGCATTCATCCATGTCCCCACAGAACTTTCCTGTTCCGGTATAACCATGTTTACATGCACAAGTAAAACTTCCAACGGTGTCCGTGCAGTTGGCATTCTCGTCACACGGTGATTTCAGGCACTCCACAACATTCACACAACTCTTTCCATTACCCTTGTATCCTGAATTACATGAACAACTGAAGTTACCAATGTTGTTCTGACAAGTGGCATCCGACGAACAGTCGTGAAGACCCCGTGCACACTCGTCCACATCTGAACAGCAGGTACCTGGACCTTCGTAACCTGAGTCACATGAGCAATTATGACCTCCCACCGTGTTGGAGCACGTGGCATTAGGATGGCACGCATGGCTGTCCGCCTGACATTCGTTGTGATCAATGCAGTTCGTGCCATTACCTGCGTTGTACACACACACACGCATTCATGCACACACACACACACACACACACACACACACACACACACACACACACACACAAGCACACACACACACACACACACACACACACACACACACACACAGAAACATACGGAAAGAATTACAGCTTTTTCTATACAGAGTTTGGCATACAAGCGTCGTCTCGGTTGGAGAACGAGCTGCCCCTACTATACCCTCGCCACGCCGCACATCAAACGAACTAGTCAAGTGGTTTTTCTCTAGAGCTAGAGAGAGAAAGAGAGATTTTCATTACTACACCTCAGGATCCGATCGGAGAACTGACAACTGACATGGCAAAAGGAAACATGATATCGGAAATTGGTGCCCTCATCAGCACAAAAAGTGGTGTACTCGATATCATATCAGCACAAAAAGGTGTACGTGTCAGCAATACAACAAAGCAGCGTAGCAGCATGCAGGCCCGTAGCAGCCCCATTTTGGTTGGTCCGGCAAGATCCGACTTGATGCTCCCCCCCCCCCCCCCCCCCACACACATACTCATACATATGCCGGTACATGTACATGTACATGTACATGCATGTAATCGTGACCATGCAGAGTGACATAGGGCGAGAAAAGGAAGAAGGACGTTCTCTATGAGTCAGGAAAAAGGGCATCAGCATGTTGTGTCCGTCCAAACAGAACATGTTGAAGCCTTTGAAGGCATAGCAACAGTATCTAACTGCATGTGATAAAAGAACCAAAATGTACCTTTGGAGGAGGAAAAAGGGTATTGCAATGGAATATCTTTGGTACAAACCCTATCTAGAAAGAATTGGAGGAAGAAAAGAATCCGAACACGTTTCAGGAAGCACAGTGTAGAAACACTCACGGGCATGACTGTCCTCATGCCCTTCAGCAGGGTCATACTCCTGATGACATGTAGGTCTACTACCGGCACTACTATGTAATACCTCTATACTACTTATTGCACACACCATCATCATGGGTGGACATCCTGAGCTGCTCACATGGGTGAGCTCCCCCCCCCCCTTTTTTTTTTTTTTTTTTTTTTTTTTTGGCCGAATATTGGTCCAGCAGCTGCCGGACCTGCCGGACCGCCTGCTACGGCCCTGGCATGTACGGGTCAGCAGCACAGAGACACTAAATACAGTGGGCTGATACAGGATCGGCATGTGGATCAGTGCGTGACTCCTCGCCCGGCAGAGAAGTCGCCAGCTAAATAACTGCGATGCACTACAGCTACCACCGGAATGCGATGCACTACAGCTACAACCGGAATGGACCAACGAACAATGACGATAATGAGAAGAACTCAACGATACTCCGTCACCTGACATCGTCACCAGCCTGCCTAAGTGCAGTCTGCAAACATGGCACCCACTCTCACTTCACCATTCAAGCGCGTGCGCGCAACAAATCTCACCTTGCTGTGCTGGAGGCAGTGTACATTGCCAAGCTGAAGCCTGAACTGTGCGTGCAAAAGAAGTATGTGCGAAAGTTGTCACTGTTTTGACATTGTAATACCGTGGTCCCCACTGTTGTCTAATACTGGTAATATTCATTGTCTCACTGTGTACTTGGCGCCACTAGCACTATCTTTTAAAGTGATATTTGGTCTATACTCTGACCGCCAAATATGCTGTTGGCGCCACTAGCTCTATTTTTCAAGTGCTATTTTTGTCAATGCCCTGCCCGCCAAAAGTTATAAGGACTTGCTTACTACCTTGTTAATCACCATTGTATTCGACCTGAAGAATAATGGAATGAAAGGCCTAGTCGAAAAAATTATACGGCTTCTGTACTTCGTGTGCTGATTTGCTTTCCTCCAACCAAAAATCTATACAAATACAGTCATCAGTCAATTTTTTCTTCAGACTTTTCCCGTTTGTCTCTTTCCCTCAAACCAGTTAAATACAGTCATATTAATACTATTATTATTATTAAGAAAGGGTTTGCTCCCCACACCGGAGCTCGCGCTATTCCGCCGACTTTACTTGACACTTGACTGACTCACGACTGCCATCCAGAGCACACGAGAAGTCCATCTAACCTTCGACTCGGCAAACCTGCAAGAAAGCACCACTCTCTCCTCAATACACAGTGTTTCGGGGAATTCACCCCTCATCAGTTGAGCTTGAGTAGGCTGAGGAAGATTGTGCCTGAAGAGCACCACTTATATAGTGCTCTCCAGACACAAACATCATCAGGGATACAAACTTACAGAGACGCTCCGTTTCCAGCGCGACAAACACCTCGCGAACACCAGATAGCAGCGTGAGTCAGTGTCCGCTTCACGCCCTTAACCGTCCACTCTGTTGAGCGGATACTTTCTCAAGTCGACCAGCACAAGGCAACTGGACATGACGACATACCAAACCTGGTCCTGAAGAAGTGCTCTTCCATGCTTGCACCGTCATTGACCCGCATCTTTAATGTTTCCTTTCAGACTGCTAAAGTCCCAGCAATGTTTAAGCAGGCCAATATGACGCCACTTTTCACAGGCGGTGATTCTGAACTACCGACCAACTATCGACCAATAAGTCTCCTTCCTACTGTATCACGCCTCCTAGAACGTGCAGTCCACCGCGAAGTTGTTCGATACTTTGAGTCCGAGGATCTTCTTCCGGAAACTCAGTTCGCATACCGTTGCCATCAGACGCGCTGACACTGGCTGTACATCGATGGAGCACAGCTAGGGCCCGGAAACAGTCCACTGGTATTGTGTTTGTCGATATGTCAAAAGCATTTGATAAGGTTAGCCACCGAACGCTGCTAGATGATCTTCACGGAAAGCGTGTACGTGGCACTGCTCTGGCCTGGTTTGCCAGCTATTTGTCGGGTCGGAAACAACGCGTTGTGTTCAAGTGGTGTTCCACAAGGTAGCGTTCTCGGCTCTTTTTTCTGTTTACATCAGTTCCATCGACTCGCATCTACCGCCTGGTATTTGTCACCAAGAATTCGCCGATGATATCACCTTAGATACATCATCATCCATCCGTGCAGACATCAGCTCTAAGCTTAGTGTCGCATGTACGTGTCTCGCCGTCTGGCTCAAGGGACGCGGTTTGAGCCTCAACGCCACCAAGACCCGCGTGCTGCACGTTGCTCCTCGGAGCACCCTTGATCCCTTGCCGCCTGTGATATGCGATGGTGCTGTGCTCCCTGTTGTGTCGCAGACCAAGAGTACTGAGGCTTGATTGTAGACGATCGCCTGACTTGGAACAGCCACGTCCCGCATATCTGTAAAACGTCTCGACAGGTTATAGGAGCGCTGGTGAGAAATCGGAAGTGTCACTCTCTGCAGTTGAAGCGAATGGCCTACACGTCCATGGTAGAGTCCAGGATCCGCTATGGATGCTCAGCTTTATTTAGCTCTCTCTCCAAGGCTAACGAGGAGAGACTTCAACGCCTATGCAACCTAGCCCGACGAGCCATGTACAACCTGACCTCCCGTACCCGTATGACTCCCATGTATGCGGAACACAACCTGCTTCGTGTACACCAGCTCTTGCTTGAGACAGTGTGCTCGCTGGTCTACCGGTGCCTACATTCCACCATGGAGCAGCCACTGATCAGCGCATTATTTGGAGATTTCGTCACTCCGACTAGGGCTGGCCAAACGCGCGGATCCCAACAACATCTACTGCAGCTTCCATCCAGAACTCATCATGTGACTCTTTCTGCTGCACGCGTTTGGAACAGTCTTCCACCTGATGCGAGAAACATCACGTCCAGCCTCCAGTTCAAGGGTGTGTTGCACGCGTATTGTCTTACTGCAGCGTGACAGCAACCCCCCCCCTCCCCTGTCTTCAGTACTAGTATGTAGTAATCCTGATGCCCTGATACATGCCGAAGCTAGCTATATGCTCAGTCTCCGGCTAGCTGTATGCTCAGTCTATACATTCTTGATCTTATCTTCTTCTTTTTTTTTCCTTTCTCTTTTCTTTAAAATGTTTTACTGCCAGAAGTCGTCTTCATATAAAAAAAGGCAGATATGCCTGTTTGTTGTACAACTTTAAATGAATCCAACCAACCAACCAATCCCCACCGTTAGGCGCTGCATCTGCCGCTAGGGTTTACCCGGTGTTAGCGGCCGTCGTGAGTTCCCTTCGGGAACGGACACGATAATTTTCTTTACTTTTTACTTTACAATACTGTGTTGTGCACATGGTACATGTGCTAGACCACTTCAGCAGCAGGGTGTGTTCATGGTGTTTATACAGTGGTGTGTTCATGGTGTGTTCATGGTGTGTTCATGGTGTTTATACAGTGGTGTGTTCATGGTGTGTTCATGGTGTGTTCATGGTGTTTATACAGTGGTGTAGATCTATCTACTAGTATGTTCGCAGAGCAGCTAACCCTGCACTACAAGCAATCAATCATGCAGGCTACTCAGGAGGTGTCAAATGTCACACCAGCATCATCAAACCGTGTACCTGGCCAGCTTTCACAGTACAGTCTTTGCGGAGAAACTCTGTTTATGTGCGTGTACATGTCATTGATTGTATGACTCGTACAGTTGTGGACTTGGAAATCTGGTCGCACGTCTAGTGGAGCCAGGGCGCTGGCCATGCAGCCTTGGATAAGCGGTACACACATGTATCTATGTGCTGCAGCGCGCTGGTCGCATCGGATCAACGTGTACACTGCACACACTGACCACACTGACAGTGTTCCGTACGCGCTGAGGGCGCCGGCCCCGGTCAATCGACTGGATTTCCATGTCGGCAACAGTACTTGTACTCAGTAGATGCGGTACTACTGTACTACTGTACTACTGTACTACTGTACTACTGTACTACTATACTACTGTACTACTGTACTACTATACTACTGCACTACTGTACTACTGTACTACTGTACTACTGTACTACTGTACTACTGTACTACTGTACTACTGCACTACTGTTATACTATACTACTGTACTACTGTACTACTGTACTACTGTACTACTGTACTACTATACTACTGCACTACTGTACTACTGTACTACTGTACTACTGTACTACTGTACTACTGTACTACTGCACTACTGTACTACTATACTACTGTACTACTATACTACTGCACTACTGTACTACTGTACTACTGTACTACTGTACTACTGCACTACTATACTACTGCACTACTGTACTACTTACTGCATTACTGTACTACTGTACTACTGTACTACTATACTACTGTACTACTATACTACTGTACTACTGTACTACTATACTACTGCACTACTATACTACTGCACTACTGTACTACTGCATTACTGTACTACTGTACTACTGTACTACTATACTACTGTACTACTATACTACTGTACTACTGTACTACTATACTACTGCACTACTATACTACTGCACTACTGTACTACTGCATTACTGTACTACTGTACTACTGTACTACTGTACTACTGTACTACTGTACTACTGTACTACTGTACTACTGTACTACTGTACTACTGTACTACTGTACTACTGTACTACTGCACTACTGTACTACTATACTACTGTACTACTATACTACTGCACTACTGTACTACTGTACTACTGTACTACTGCACTACTATACTACTGCACTACTGTACTACTGCATTACTGTACTACTGTACTACTGTACTACTATACTACTGTACTACTGTACTACTATACTACTGTACTACTGTACTACTATACTACTGCACTACTATACTACTGCACTACTGTACTACTGCATTACTGTACTACTGTACTACTGTACTACTATACTACTGTACTACTATACTACTGTACTACTGTACTACTGCATTACTGTACTACTGTACTACTGTACTACTGTACTACTATACTACTGTACTACTGTACTACTGTACTACTGTACTACTGTACTACTGCACTACTGTACTACTATACTACTGTACTACTATACTACTGTACTACTGTACTACTATACTACTGCACTACTGTACTACTATACTACTGCACTACTGTACTACTGTACTCTGTACTACTGTACTACTGTACTACTGTACTACTGCACTACTATACTACTGCACTACTGTACTACTGCATTACTGTACTACTATACTACTGTACTACTATACTACTGTACTACTATACTACTGTACTACTGTACTACTATACTACTGCACTACTATACTACTGTACTACTGTACTACTATACTACTGCACTACTATACTACTGCACTACTGTACTACTGTACTACTGTACTACTGTACTACTGCACTACTATACTACTGCACTACTGTACTACTGCATTACTGTACTACTATACTACTGTACTACTATACTACTGTACTACTATACTACTGTACTACTGTACTACTATACTACTGCACTACTATACTACTGCACTACTGTACTACTGCATTACTGTACTACTGTACTACTGTACTACTGTACTACTGTACTACTGTACTACTGTACTACTGTACTACTGTACTACTATACTACTGTACTACTGTACTACTGTACTACTGTACTACTGTACTACTGCACTACTGTACTACTATACTACTGTACTACTATACTACTGTACTACTATACTACTGCACTACTGTACTACTGTACTCTGTACTACTGCACTACTGTACTACTGCACTACTGTACTACTATACTACTGCACTACTGTACTACTGTACTACTGTACTACTGTACTACTATACTACTGCACTACTGTACTACTGTACTACTGTACTACTGTACTACTGTACTACTGTACTACTGTACTACTGTACTACTGTGTTTTGGGGGGACAGCCACAGCAAGGCTGGTTGCACTCTTGTGTCCAGAACACAGACAGAAAAACGTCCAGCGAAAACAACACCTCATAGAGTGACAGCATTGTGCGAGGTGAATCATACAGAAAAGCACAGCAATCGACAGAGCATCCGCACATTCCACACCTCGCACAACTTATAACCTGTATTGTAGCAGCAATATTGAGAAATCTATCAGAGAGAGAGAGTAACGCAGCGCTCTCACAATCATGATCTGTGTGTGAAAACCGTACAAAGCTCCTCATTGGGAGGGAGGGTGGGAAACCAGCTTGCAAAGCAAGAAAACAAAAGATGAGGGACTGCGGCGTACCAGTACGCCCAAAACTGTTGGACCTCGGTCCCAGACCTGTTCGTTCGAAAAGAACAACATTTCTTGTTTATTTCGTAAAACTCAGCCAACAAGAAATGAAAACTTCTTTTCTCACTCACACGTCAGTACTGCACACATACTCACACACACACTCTCTCTCTCTCACATACACACACACACACACTCACACACACTCATCACAGAATAACAACTGTAGTAGCATGCAGCGTATTCCACCTTTACGCACGGTCTACGGCATCGCTGGGCATTTGTTGCCAGGACAGTACCCAACACAGCTACCCTGCTGGAGCCCTTGGAGCAGGCGGTTGTACACCTGCTACTCCCAGCCCTCCTCGGTCGCCCCTCTCCAGGCTCTGCCGAAGGGAAGATCCTGGCTCTACCATGTCGTTTGGGTGGCCTGGGACTAATCATCGTCTCTTCGTTAGCAGAACAGTTCCACTCATCCTGCCACATCACCCAAACGCTGGTTGAGGGAATCCTCTCTGGCATGTCCTACCTGCCCGACGTCACGCAGCTTACGCTGCACAGGAAGTCCGAAGTCCGCAGCCGACAGCAGAATAAGGAGTCAACCATCGCCAAGGATGTCGTCTCAGCCGCTTCACAGGAATTGCAGCGTTGTGTGGAGCTTGCTTCGCTGAAGGGGGCCTCCAATTGGCTCACGTGCCGGCCACTGAAAGTCCACGGCTTTTCCCTCAGCAAGGCTGGCTTTCGCGACGCCATCCATGTTCGCTATGGCTGGGTCCCCCCAATGCTGCCGTCCACCTGCGTCTGTGGTCAGGCATTCAGCACCGCGCATGCCCTGTCGTGCCCTATTGGAGGGTATCCGTCACTCCGGCATAACGAGCTGCGAGACATCACCGCCTCACTGCTTTCACGCGTCGCACATGACGTAAGTGTGGAGCCGTCTCTCCAGCCACTTTCCGGGGAACGGATGAGGTATCGTACTGCAATCAGCGAGGATGGCGCCCGCCTAGATGTTGCTGCCAGCGGGGTGTGGGGCGGCCGTTTCGAGAGGACATTCTTTGATGTCCGGGTATTTAACCCTTTTGTCCGATCGAACACCGCTCCCTCCCTCAACAGCACGTTCACTAAGCACGAGAAGGAGAAACGGCGACACTATGAAGAGCGTGTTAGGGAAGTAGAGAAGGCATCGTTCGTCCCCTTGGTGTTTTGTGCCTCCGGTGGTCAAGGCAAGGCTGCCTCTGCTTTCCTCAAGCGCATTGCATCAATGCTGGCTGAGAAGCGGAAGGAACCGTTCTCCATGGTGATGGCTCACCTTCGTTGCCGCCTAGGGTTTGCCCTCATCAGATCGGCGATTGCAAGCTTAAGAGGTCATCGATCCAGGCGAGCACCTTTGGATCAGCAGCTGGAGTGCCCCTCAGCTCTAGTGAATGCTGAGTGTCGTCTGGGTTAACCCTCACCTCTTGTTATATGGCTGTATTGTTTTCGCTATTAGTTAGTTTTCTTTGTTATGATTTCTTTTTTTTCTTTTTCTTTTTTACCAGGCGTGGGCCATCCCCTGAATTCATAGGTGCCAAACATTCTTTTTTCTATAGTTTTCTTTGTTAATATGATTTCTTTTTTTCTTTTTCTTTTTACCAGGCGTGGGCCATCCCCTGAATTCATAGGTGCCAGACATTCTTTTTCTTTCTTTTTCTTTTTACCAGGCGTGGGCCATCCCCTGAATTCATAGGTGCCAACTGCACATGCAAAAAAAAAAAACTACTGTACTACTGTACTACTGTACTACTGTACTACTGTACTACTGTACTACTGTACTACTGTACTACTGCACTACTGTACTACTATACTACTGTACTACTATACTACTGTACTACTGTACTACTATACTACTGCACTACTGTACTACTGTACTACTGTACTACTGTACTACTGTACTACTGTACTACTGTACTACTGTACTACTGTACTACTGTACTCCATTCACACTGCATTTATTCGCACAGCAGAAAAGCAACCAACAGAAAATCACGGAATCATAGCAAACAAAACAAAATCATCGGATAATAAAAGTGTGGCTAGACACGGCTACTCCGCAAGAGTCTCAGTCACGCAACTGACAGTCGTTGACTGCCAGCACAACAGGAGTGGCAGCATCCAAACGACTGCGGTAGGGAGAAGCACGGTGACCACGGAGGCTCATGTTGCAGGATCGAACCAAAGCAAAGGAGACAAGAGAGCGGATCCAGGACATGACGGAGGAGTAGGGTTCATGCCGCTTCTCCGAAACCATATGGCCAAGACGCTTCAGGAAAGCGTGTACTGTACTACTGTACTACTGTACTACTATACTACTGTACTACTATACTACTGCACTACTGTACTACTGCATTACTGTACTACTGAACTACTGTACTACTGTACTACTGTACTCTGTACTACTGTACTACTGTACTACTGCACTACTGTACTACTATACTACTGTACTACTGTACTACTGCACTACTGTACTACTGTACTACTGTACTACTGCACTACTGTACTACTATACTACTGTACTACTGTACTACTGTACTACTGTACTACTGTACTACTGTACTACTGTACTACTGTACTACTGTACTACTGTACTACTGTACTACTGTACTACTGTACTACTATACTACTGTACTACTGTACTACTGCACTACTGTACTACTATACTACTGTACTACTATACTACTGTACTACTGTACTACTATACTACTATACTACTGCACTACTGTACTACTGTACTACTGTACTACTATACTACTGCACTACTATACTACTGCACTACTGTACTACTGCACTACTGTACTACTGTACTACTGTACTACTGTACTACTGTACTACTGTACTACTGTACTACTGTACTACTGTACTGTGTTGATTCTTCACAAAATGTGTTATTTTGCCCGTACAAGAGGCTCAGTAAACTGTACTACTGTACTACTGTACTACTGTACTACTGCACTACTGTACTACTGTACTACTGTACTACTGCACTACTGTACTACTGTACTACTGTACTACTGTACTACTGTACTACTGCATTACTGTACTACTGTACTACTGTACTACTGTACTACTGTACTCTGTACTACTGTACTACTGTACTACTGTACTACTGTACTACTGTACTACTGTACTACTATACTACTGCACTACTGTACTACTGCACTACTGTACTACTGTACTACTGTACTACTGTACTACTGTACTACTGTACTACTATACTACTGTACTACTGTACTACTATACTACTGTACTACTGTACTACTGTACTGGCATCGCTGGGCATTTGTTGCCAGGACAGTACCCAACACAGCTACCCTGCTGGAGCCCTTGGAGCAGGCGGTTGTACACCTGCTACTCCCAGCCCTCCTTGGTCGCCCCTCTCCAGGCTCTGCCGAACGGAAGATCCTGGCTCTACCATGTCGCTTGGGTGGCCTGGGACTAATCATCTTCTCTTCGTTAGCAGAACAGTTCCATTCATCCTGCCACATCACCCAAACGCTGGTTGAGGGAATCCTCGCTGGCATGTCCTACCTGCCCGACGTCACGCAGCTTACGCTGCACAGGAAGTCCGAAGTCCGCAGCCGACAGCGGAATAAGGAGTCAACCATCGCCAAGGATGTCGTCTCAGCCGCTTCACAGAAATTGCAGCGTTGTGTGGAGCTTGCTTCGCTGAAGGGGGCCTCCAATTGGCTCACGTGCCGGCCACTGAAAGTCCACGGCTTTTCCCTCAGCAAGGCTGGCTTTCGCGACGCCATCCATGTTCGCTATGGCTGGGTCCCTCCAATGCTGCCGTCCGCCTGCGTCTGTGGTCAGGCATTCAGCACCGCACGTGCCCTGTCGTGCCCTATTGGAGGGTATCCGTCACTCCGGCATAACGAGCTGCGAGACATCACCGCCTCACTGCTTTCACCCGTCGCACATGACGTAAGTGTGGAGCCGTCTCTCCAGCCACTTTCCGGGGAACGGATGAGGTATCGTACTGCAATCAGCGAGGATGGCGCCCGCCTAGATGTTGCTGCCAGCGGGGTGTGGGGCGGCCGTTTCGAGAGGACATTCTTTGATGTCCGGGTATTTAACCCTTTTGTCCGATCGAACACCGCTCCCTCCCTCAACAGCACGTTCACTAAGCACGAGAAGGAGAAACGGCGACACTATGAAGAGCGTGTTAGGGAAGTAGAGAAGGCATCGTTCGTCCCCTTGGTGTTTTGTGCCTCCGGTGGTCAAGGCAAGGCTGCCTCTGCTTTCCTCAAGCGCATTGCATCAATGCTGGCCGAGAAGCGGAAGGAACCGTTCTCCATGGTGATGGCTCACCTTCGTTGCCGCCTAGGGTTTGCCCTCATCAGATCGGCGATTGCAAGCTTAAGAGGTCATCGATCCAGGCGAGCACCTTTGGATCAGCAGCTGGAGTGCCCCTCAGCTCTAGTGAATGCTGAGTGTCGTCTGGGTTAACCCTCACCTCTTGTTATATGGCTGTATTGTTTTCGCTATTAGTTAGTTTTCTTTGTTATGATTTCTTTTTTTCTTTTTTCCTTTTTACCAGGCGTGGGCCATCCCCTGAATTCATAGGTGCCAAACATTCTTTTTCTTTAGTTTTCTTTGTTAATATGATTTCTTTTTTTCTTTTTCTTTTTACCAGGCGTGGGCCATCCCCTGAATTCATAGGTGCCAGACATTCTTTTTTCTTTCTTTTCTTTTTCTTTTTACCAGGCGTGGGCCATCCCCTGAATTCATAGGTGCCAGACATTCTTTTTTCTTTCTTTTCTTTTTACCAGGCGTGGGCCATCCCCTGAATTCATAGGTGCCAACTCTTTAAAACAAATCACGAATCGCGTGATTACAAGATCAAAAAAAAAAGAAAAAAAGAGTTCATGCACTGCAAAAAAAAAACTACTGTACTGTCTGCCATTCACTTCCACACTAGCAAAACATTCATGTACATGTACATGTCATACCATGGCATGCATGGATATGTACAGTAGTGGACCTACATACATGTATACACTGAAAATGTGCGATAAGACTTTCAAATACAGTCGGGGGGGGGGGGGGGGAGGTGGGGGGAGTCTATTCGAAATGCGATACGTTTACAACAAAAAGTGCGAACTTATGAGATGCTACCTAACGGAGCTGTACTAGCCAAACCTACAGCTAAATGACCTTACCATTGTATCCTTGATGACAGACGCACGCATAGCTTCCTTTGGTGTTTGAGCACCTTGACTGAGCATGACAGTTGGTAGTGTAAGAACTATTAGTACATTCATCGATATCCACGCAAGATATTCCATCCTTCAAGTAGCCAGTACTGCAATTGCAACGGAAAGAACCAGGAACGTTGTCACATTCAGAGTTTACACTGCACACTGGTAAAGCTCCACCACATTCATCATTGTCTTCGCATGTCGTTCCATTGCCAGAGAAACCATTCTTGCAACTGCAAGTAAAGTTTCCTGCACTGTTGCTACAGATAGCATCAGAATGGCAGCTGTGAGCGCCAGTTGAGCATTCATCTATGTCCCCACAGAACTTTCCTGTTCCGGTATAACCATGTTTACAAGCACAAGTAAAGCTTCCAACGGTATCCGTACACTTGGCATTCTCGTCACACGGTGATTTCAGGCACTCCTCAACATTCACACAACTCTTTCCATTACCCCTGTATCCTGAATTACATGAACAACTGAAGTTACCAATGTTGTTCTGACAAGTGGCATCCGACGAACAGTCGTGAAGATCACGTGCACACTCGTCCACATCTGAACAGTAGGTACCTGGACCTTCATAACCTGGGTCACATGAGCAATTATGACCTCCCACCGTGTTGGAGCACATCGCGTTGTCATGGCAATCATGACTGCCATTCTGACATTCGTTGTGATCAATGCAGTTCGTCCCGTTACCTGAAGTGTACAAAAACATGAGCACATATGACCAGCACTCAGTTTCATGGTATTGAATTGTCTTAAAATGCGCAAATGGCGACGGTCTGTGCATAGGTCACAATGATTCGACCTTGCTGCATTTTATACTGACTTTTCGACAATAGACCCATCACGCAATCCCAAATTTGGGGTGCATTGCGTCATGGAAAAAGTGAGCACCCTGCCGGAATGTGGGCAGAAAGCTGAGAGATCGAGAGTCGAGTTGTTTTGTTTTGTTTGTCAGTTTGGAGTTTTCATTTCGTCTGCAATTTTGTCAATCTACTGTAGGAGATATTCTAAGTGTTTAGTTGTCTGTTCAGTGACTATTGTAGCATGGCTGACTGTGTCGGAAATAAACCAGCGAAGAAAAAAGCAAAGCGAGTTACGGGCAGTTCTTGTTGTGTTCCTGAATGCTCCAATGCTTATGGGAAAAATCCTGAAATATCCTTCCACGATTTTCGGTCCAGCAATTCCCTTCTGGGGAAGTGGTTGCAGGCCATTCGTCGTGATATTGGGCCGAATTTTCAAATCACGGAACCCACCAAGGTATGCAGATCACACTTCCTCCCAACGGACTACAAGTCCCCAACAAAACGAGCGCTGAAAAGGAGGGAGACGCAGGGTAAGGGTGGCTAGCCAAAGAAGCTCTTGAAGGACGATGCTGTTCCGTCAGTGTTTTCCTTTCCTCCAACAACTACGCAAGCCACTGCACGCAGGCCTCCTACGAAGCGCCGGCTGTCTAATAGTTCCAGTAGTGCACCTGATGATGAGATTGGCGACGAGGTGTGTGAGGACAATACCCCAACGTACGACGACCTGGAGAAAGAGAATTCTGAGCTGGGGGGGGGAGAAAGCCAAGCTTCAAGCTGAAGCTGCACTGATGCGAACCAAGCTGGATGCTGTGGAGAAGGAATGTGCTACAGAAAGGGAGAAATCGACTTTTCTGGCTGACCAGCTGGCCGGTGCAAAGCAGAAGGAAACCCGACCAATCGCATTTTGCATTTCAAGATTTGTTGGCAGAGCTGCCATGGTCCGCGTATTCACCGGCTTCACCAGTATTGCGATGTTCATGGCCTGCTTTAATTTCCTGTTACCTGATGCCCGGACTATGCACACATGGCAAGGAGGACGTACCAAGGTGAATGATGTGCGGACATTGACGAAGCCTGGCCCAAAGCTGAAGCTATCCCTAGAACGCCAGTTCTTCTTCTTCTTCTGTGTACGCCTAAGAACTGGACAAACACTGGATGAGCATGGAGACAGATTTGATGTTGATGCATCAACACTATCGAGGTACTTCACAGCTTGGATGAATTTATTGTACTTCAAATTTAAAGAGCTATTAGTCTTTCCATCTCGTCGGCGTGTGGACCGCAATATGCCCGAGTGTTTCAAGAACTACTACCCCTCAACTAGAATCATAATTGACTGCACGGAAATCTAGTTTGTCACAACAAAGTGCTGGGTTTTCCACTTACAAAAACCATACAACTGTTAAATCTCTAGTTGGAATTAGTCCAGATGGTGCCTTTACTTTCGTCTCGCCACTGTTTGAGGGCTCTATCTCCGACAGAGACATTGTGATTGAGAGCGGTTTGCTGCCATTGCTGGAGTTCGGAGACAGTGTCATGGCGGACAAGGGGTTCAACATTCAGGACCTCCTGCCTCCCTATGGTGCTCGTTTGAACATCCCGTCATTTAACACAAAGGCTCACCAAATGCTGCCGCAAAATGTAATAGCAACCAAAACCATTGCTTCTGTCAGAATTCATGTCGAAAGGGCCATTAAGCGAGTGAAGGAGTTTCGCCTTCTTACTGGTGTGGTTGAGAACAATTTGTATGATCTGTAGGAGCAAACTATCTTCACTGCCTGTATGCTCTCCAATTTTCAGCCAGCATTGGTTGCGCGTTGAAGCACACTTTCAAGTCGCAGCATGTTTTATTCATCAGCGTTACAGTTCCTTGTTAGCACACTGATAGACCGTGTCCCCATACTCCAGTGCTCGCACATAGATTTCAGTTCATTTTATATAAAAAAAACTATTTTCACCGCCTGTATGCTCTGCAACTTTCAGCCAGCATTAGTTGCGCGTTGCAGAATACTTTCAAGTCGCAGCATGTGCTATTCAACAGCGTTGCAGTTCCTTGCTGGCACACTGATAGACAAGTGTCCCCATACTCCAGTTCTCGCACACAGATATCAGCTCATTCTTATAAGTAACTATCTTCACTGCCTGTATGCTCTGCAACTTTCAGCCAGCATTAGTTGCGCGTTGAAGCACACTTTCAAGAGAATGAAGTTGAAGACACCACTGCAGCTGTACTTATGGTTGATAAATGAGCCGTCAGATGCAAAAAGGTACCTTATGACATTTTTGGCCAAATTGAGTTGACGATTGTTTCAGATACTACCTGGTGAGGAGAGTGTCATGCAAAAAACCAGGTCCAGAAATCTCAATTCATCATAGAGTTACCCTGGAAACTATCCGGACTATCAATCACCTATTCACAGAAAATACTTTTTCGAACGTGATTTTCCGGCTCAACTGCAAAACGTCATAAGGTACATTTTGCATCTGACGGCTCAAGTATGTTGGTAAAGACACAATATACCACAACAACACCACATTGCGCTCTTGGCCGATCCAATCTCTGCACTCACATCACCATCACCACAGCGAGGACAATTCCGGTATATAGATTGATATTGACAATGACCCTCCAGACAGCTGTTTCGCTCCTGAGCTCATCAGTGGAGGCATATTATGATGTTGAATGAAATAATAATAAAAATAGACTGATCTTTATAGGGCTAAATTGGTAAAGACACACCTGGCAATATGGCGGTAAACACACGCCTGCCCACACGCACTCTCTAGGCTGCAAAGTTCTGGCACTCAAGCCGAAACAGTGTTCATTCGGCACAGCACTACACAGCAACTGTGAGCGCCGGAAGGTAATGCTTGAAATAACACTGCTAAAGAGCCGGAATTATCTTCTCAAGCAAAGCATTATCTCGGGAAATCCTTTGAATGAAAACTTCATCGGGGGACCACACAACAAAATCAGCATTTTCCACATTGCATACATGCATTTGCACTTGCCCTTGAAAATACTAAGTATGTGAAGGGTTCAACCCTAATTCCGATTCTCTGCTGACGAGACAAGAACTCGGCTTTGCAGCAACTTCTTTCAGGGGCGTGCCATTCCGAAGTGTATACGGGCACTTCACTTCGACCACACTCTCAGGCACTCCATCACTCAGTACAAGGCCATCTGGCGAAGCACTAAGCCATGGCTTGTCCACATGAATGACCAGGCCTGACGCGACAACCGATACTTACTTGCTTGCAGAATACGATGCGGGGGCGTCCGGCTCATGCTTGATGCCATAGCGCATGGCTGCTGTAGGGTATGAGCTTGGGGCTAATTTCCGTCTCACTATGGCGGTGAAGTTATCGCCTCTGCGCCGGCAGATGGATTTCGCCAGAGTCGCAGTAACTCGTACACGGCGCTCTGCAAACCAAATTGGTGTTGCCGACTGACCTCTGGTGCTCTTCTCATTCTGCTTCGCTTCCTCAGACGTTACAAACACATGCGCAGCGTAAAATTCATCAGTGGAGGTAATGTCTGATGATACCAAAGACAGATCCGTTGTAGCAGTAGCAGGCTCTTCCTCGTCTGATGAGCAGCTAGCAGAACCACTGCCACCATCACTTTCACTGCTACTAGCTTCCGAAGGGAGAGGCGAGGGCTGGAGAAGGCAAAGCCAGGTGGAAGTTCCGTACATCTTCACACGGCCAGAATCGTCAGCTGCTAAACCGTCGTCCTCAATTGCCTGCAGTGCACTGGTCAGCTCAGCAACTCCAAGCGGGTTGGGTAAGCGCATGTTTGTAGGCCGTGGGTCGTAGAATGGTATCTTCTTCTTCTTCCGCGCCTTGTCCCGCCTGGCAAACATGTCTTTCCGCAGGTGAACAGTCAGGACTCGTCGGGGCTTAATGCGAGTAGTGCGAGGACGGTTCCACTGCATCAGCTTCTCCGTACATGTCTTGGCTGCCTCCTCCCGCAAACCCAGCCGTACAAAGTCCTCCAGCGCGTGGAGCAAACTAGCAATATGGTTGCATGACCCAGCCAATCCTGCGGGGCACGTGCAGAGTGCAACACTAACAACAGGGACGTGGGTGCTGGCATTCTTAGATGTGGTGCAACACAGACACACCTGGTACTGCCTGTCCTTGCGCATGCATGGCAGAACTGTGGCTCGAATGTAACAGAATCCAGGATTGCTGGGAAGACAATGGAATTGAAGCTTCTGTACATGGCCCGACTTAAAGAAACGGTATCCCTTGTCAAGCCCTTGATAGGCACGGAATTTCTGGTTCACTGCTGCTTGAACATCACTGTCATCATCACCACTATCATCATCATGTGAGCTCACGCAAGCACTGGCGTCCACAGATTTCCCAGTAACCACTTCATGCACAGAGCTCTTAGTGAAATGTTGACAAATCGTGCGGAATGTGAACATGGGAAGACTGGCGAGGTTGCTCTCCCACCCATCAGCTGGATATGGTGGAACAGCTTTCAGGTTGGGATTGGAAACTCCAGCAGATCTCAATTTCTCCGCCTTCGCAGCAACATTTGCTCCACCATGCATCAGGGTCGACGATTTTGGAGTCCAAAGCAGCATTGATGTAGTCCTTCACTCTGCAATCACGACATGAAAAGAATAAAAAATTATAAAATCTACTCAAGATCACAAAACACACAAATCTACTCAAGGTCACGGAACTACCAATAACCAACCAAGAAGTAAGCAACTTACCGCTTCAACAAATCCGGTTTCTTCCTTGTCTTCCTAGCTCCACGACATGCAAGCCATCGCTTCAATTCTTGGACATTCAGCTGCTCCGGTACTCGAGCAGATCCATCGGGGTTGGTACCAAGTGAGCCGCCAGGAACGTCGTCCTCCGTCAAACAAATCTCAGCCATGACCGATGTCAGGCGATGTTACTAGCTACAGCTGAGGTAGTCTACTACTGCTACTGTGAAGACAAGACTGAAGAGCAAGAAGAAGAAAAACAGCGGATGCTCAACTCGAATACTGTTGCACTCCAAGTTCAACTCCAAGACTACGAGACAAAAAAATTAGGCAGGCTTCTGCAGCTGCATGCCCACAATTCGGCACGCGCGCGATAGTGATGGGTCACCGGTTACGTCATTGCGCAATGGGCTTATTCAGGGGGGGGGGGGGGTGATGCACCGGATGCGGGTCCCAATCCATGTGCACCCCCTAACAATTTCGACCTAGGTTCAGCGAGCTCATAATGACGTGTTCTATGTTTTCGAAGAAAAAATGAGGGAGCGGCTTACACTCTGGAAAAAACGGTACCCCCATATGAACCGTATCCGGACTTCCAAGTTGCGGCCATCTCGGTCTGCCTGGCACCCTATCGAGGAGTCTTACTGGAACAATAATTACTATTCATTTGTAAATTCTTGCGGGAATAGCGACGTCATTTGCCAGGTCCTTGCCGCTTTGCCACTGAGACGCATGCGATTCAGAGTTACTGGCGCTGCAAAGTGGAAATGTATAGGCAGTGCCCGGTCTTGGATTGCCCCAAATAAGAGAGATATGAGTACAGCTAGTGGCTATCCGACATATCGACAATTTTCACAAAAAGAAAAAATTTAGTTAGGATCCTCCCCCACCCAAAAAAAGATTGACTTGACAGCAAGAATGCCTTGATGTCTCTCATATCAATATTTCCAAAACGAAACTTCCCTTGGCTCACCCACCCATAGACGAAACTTATGCTCTTCATTTAAAAGATGGATAGGGATGCCCCTTAGAGTACCAAACAAGTCCTAACTTAAATAGCTTTACCATTGTGTCCTTGATGACAGGCGCACACATAGCTTCCTTTGGTGTTTGAGCATGTTGAATGAGCATGACAGTTGGTAGTGTAAGAACTATTAGTACATTCATCGATATCCACGCAAGATATTCCATCCTTCAAGTAGCCAGTACTGCAATTACAACGGAAAGAACCAGGAACGTTGTGACATTCAGAGTTTACACTGCACACTGGTACACCTCCACCACATTCATCCTTGTCTTCGCATGTCTCTCCATTGCCAGAGAAACCATTCTTGCAACTGCAAGTAAAGTTTCCTGCACTGTTGATACAGATAGCATCAGAATGGCAGTTGTGAGCGCCAGTTGAGCATTCGTCTATGTCCCCACAGAACTTTCCTGTTCCGGTATAACCATGTTTACATGCACAAGTAAAACTTCCAACGGTGTCCGTGCAGTTGGCATTCTCGTCACACGGTGATTTCAGGCACTCGTCAACATTCACACAACTCTTTCCATTACCCTTGTATCCTGAATTACATGAACAACTGAAGCTACCAATGTTGTTCTGACAAGTGGCATCCGACGAACAGTCGTGAAGATCACGTGCACACTCGTCCACATCTGAACAGTAGGTACCTGGACCTTCATAACCTGGGTCACATGAGCAATTATGACCTCCCACAGTGTTGGAGCACATCGCGTTGTCATGGCAATCATGGCCGCCATTCTGACATTCGTTGTGATCAGTGCAGTTCGTGCCGTTACCTGAAGTGTACAAAAAAACATGAGCACATATGACCAGCACTCAGTTTCATGTTATTGAATTGTCTTGAAATGTGCAAATGGCGACGGTCTGTGCATAGGTCAATATGATTCGACCTTGCTGCAATTTACACTGACTTTTCAACAATTCAGGGGGGGGGGGGGGAAGATGCACCGGATGCGGATCCCAACCCATGTGCACCCCTAACAATTTCGACCTAGGTTCAGCATGCTCATAATGACCATGAATGACATGCACCAGCCGTCCTACACATATGCGGTCGTGCACCTCCCATTTATGAAACCCATGGCTTTATAGCTGAGACTGGCTATATAGTTGATTATACCTAACTCCATATACACCCACACTCATATACCAGATCTCCCACGCAGTTTATAAATTTCCATATACACTGTTCAATATACACCACTAAGGAGGTATATACACCACTGAGGAAAACCATCAGAAAAAAACCCACTGAGGAGCTTTCTTTCTCTAATTAGGAGTGTATATAGCTTTCTTTCTCCAAAGCTATATTCACTCCTTTTTAGGGAAAGAAAGCTATATTCACTCCTTTTTGCTCTTGAGCTTGCGCATGGAGAGGTATGAATATAATATAACAAGGGACCTCGTGTATATCGAGAAGTATCGACCAGTTATAAAAACTTCGGCTTCGCCTCGGTTTTATGCTGGTCTATATTTTTCGAAATACACTCGGTCCCTTGTTATAATATATACATATCTCTCCATGCTTTTAAAGGTGCGGATATACTGTAAGCGGCCTTGCACCTTCCTAAAAGGGGGACCAGCGGATATACCGTAAGCGGCCTTGCACCTTCCTAAAGAGGGGAGCCAGCGGATATACCGTAAGCGGCCTTGAGCCTTCCTTCAAAGGGGGACCGGCTACGCCCCTGAATGCAGCAAGATGGCGTCAGACTAAACAGCATTTCCCTACAGTCCATTCATTGGAAACTGGCACCCTAACTTTTGGTGTCTCTCTCAGGTAGTTGTAGATATCGTGAAAACAACAGTACACCCTGCAGTGTGTGACCCGTGCAATTAATCCTTGCCACATTGTAGGCCAGAAAAGTCCAAGAACAGGGAAATAGAAATTCAGCCAGGTTTTACAATATTAGGAGAGGTATGCTGTGGCAAAAATGTACGGAGAAGCAGATCCAAAACCGAGATTTTCGAGATTTAAAGAGGGTTTTTGATCCTCAATTCGGCCCAAATCCGACTTTCAAAAGCCAGCGGGCCAGTTTCCGATGAATAGACTGTAAGCGTCAGGTTTTCAATTGTGCCCGTTTATAGTATGGCGCCAGGCCTACCATTCAACACATCAAGAACATAAGAACCGCACCAGGGAGAACACATTCACGATTCCCGTGAGACCCGGCTAGAGGTAGAGTGTTACCGCATCCGCTTGAACGCCACCACGATCGAGGATGAAAGATCAAGGATCACCTTACAGAAGATACCGTATAAGCCGTACTTTGCACACTCAATTTTCACCACCCAAATTGGGGGGGGGGGAGGGTGTGGCTTTTACTCCGCTGATCAAATTAACGGTGATAAATAAGTTAGATGTGGTTCGTAGAAAAGATGAGGGAGCGGCTTACACTCCGGAAAAAAACGCTACTCCCATGTGAACCGTATCCGGACTTCCATGTTGCGGCTGTCTCGGTCTGCCTGGCACACTGTCGAGGAGTCTTCCTGGAACAATAATTACTATTCGTTTGTAAATTCTTGCGGCAATAGTGACGTCATTTGCCAGGTCCCTGCCCCTTTCCCAGTGAGACGCATGCGATTCAGAGTTACTGGCGCTGCAAATTGCAAATGCATAGGCACTGGCCGGTCTTTGATTGCCTCAAATAAGAGAGATATGAGTGCAGCTAGCGGCTATCCGGCATATCGATAATTTTCACAAAACGAAAAAGTTTGGTTAGGATCCTCCCCACCCAAAAAAAGATTGACTTGACAGCAAGAATGCCTTGATGTCTCTCATATCGATATTTCCAAAACGCAACTTCCCTTGACTCACCCACCCATACACGAAACTTATGCTCTTCGTCTATAAGATGGATAGCTATGCCCCTTAGAGTACCAAACAAGTCCTAAGTTAAAATATGAGCTTTACCATTGTGTCCTTGATAACAGACGCACACAAAGCTTCCTTTGGTGTTTGAGCACGTTGAATGAGCATGACAGTTGGTAGTGTAAGAAGTATTAGTACATTCATTGATATCCACGCAAGATACTCCATCCTTCAAGTAGCCAGTACTGCAATTACAACGGAAAGAACCAGGAACGTTGTGACATTCAGAGTTTACACTGCACACTGGTAAAGCTCCACCACATTCATCCTTGTCTTGGCATGCCTCTCCATTGCCAGAGAAACCATTCTTGCAACTGCAAGTAAAGCTTCCTGCGCTGTTGCTACAGATAGCATCAGAATGGCAGTTGTGAGCGCCAGTTGAGCATTCATCCATGTCCCCACAGAACTTTCCTGTTCCGGTATAACCATGTTTACATGCACAAGTAAAACTTCCAACGGTGTCCGTACAGTTGGCATTCTCGTCACACGGTGATTTCAGGCACTCCTCAACATTCACACAACTCTTTCCATTACCCTTGTATCCTGAATTACATGAACAACTGAAGTTACCAATGTTGTTCTGACAAGTGGCATCCGACGAACAGTCGTGAAGATCACGTGCACACTCGTCCACATCTGAACAGTAGGTACCTGGACCTTCATAACCTGGGTCACATGAGCAATTATGACCTCCCACAGTGTTGGAGCACATCGCGTTGTCATGGCAATCATGGCCGCCATTCTGACATTCGTCGTGATCAATGCAGTTCGTGCCGTTACCTGAAGTGTACGGAAGCATGAGCACATATGACCAGCACTCAGTTTCATGTTATTGAATTGTCTTAAAATGTGCAATTGGCGACGGTCTGTGCATAGGTCACAATGATTCGACCTTGCTGCATTTTACACTGACTTTTCGACAATTCAGGGGGGGGGGGGAAGATGCACCGGATGCGGATCCCAACCCATGTGCACCCCTAACAATTTCGACCTAGGTTCAGCATGCTCATAATGACCATGAATGACATGCACCAACCGTCCTACACATATTCGGTCGTGCACCTGCCATTGATGAAGCCCATGGCTTTATAGCTGAGACTGGCTATATAGTCGAATATCTCTCCATGCCTTAAAGGTGCGGATATACGGTAAGCGACCTTGCACCTTCCTAAAAGGGGGACCAGCGGATGTACCGTAAGCTGCGTTGCACCTTCCTTAAAAGGGGGACCGGCTATGTCCCTGAATGCAACAAGATGGCGCCAGACTTAACAGCATTTCCCTAAGCGTCTGGTTTTCAATTGTGCCCGTTTATAGTATTGCGCCAGGCCTACCATTAAATACATCAAAAACATAAGAACCACACCAGGCAGAACACATTCACGATTCCCGTGAGACTCGGCTAGAGGTAGAGGTTTTCCGCATGAGCTGGAACACCACCACGATCGAGGATGAAAGATCAAGGATCACCTTACAGAAGATACCGTATAAGCCACACTTTGCACACTCAATTTTCAACACCCAAAAGGGGGGGGAGTGTGGCTTATACTCCGCTAATCAAATTAACGGTGATAAATAAGGTAGATGTATGTTGTTCGTAGAAGAAATGAGGGAGGGGCTTGCATTCCGGAAAAAAACGGTACCCCCTACGAACCGTATCCGGACTTCCAAGTTGCGGCTGTCTCGGTCTGCCTGGCACACTGTCGAGGAGTCTTCCTGGAACAATAATTACTATTCGTTTGTCAATTCTTGCGGGAATAGTGACATCATTTGCCAGGTCCCTGCCCCTTTCCCAGTGAGACGCATGCGATTCAGAGTTACTGGCGCTGCAAAGTGCGAATGTATAGGCAGTACCCGGTCTTGGATTGCCCCAAATAAGAGAGATATGAGTGCAGCTAGCGGCTATCTGGCATATCGACAATTTTCACAAAAAGAAAAAGTTTAGTTAGGATCCTCCCCCACCCAAAAAAAGATTGACTTGACAGCAAGAATGCCTTGATGTCTCTCATATCAATATTTCCAAAACGAAACTTCCCTTGGCTCACCCACCCATAGACGAAACTTATGCTCTTCATTTAAAAGATGGATAGGGATGCCCCTTAGAGTACCAAACAAGTCCTAACTTAAATAGCTTTACCATTGTGTCCTTGATGACAGACGCACACATAGCTTCCTTTGGTGTTTGAGCATGTTGAATGAGCATGGCAGTTGGTAGTGTAAGAACTATTAGAACATTCATCGATATCCACGCAAGATATTCCATCCTTCAAGTAGCCAGTAAAGCAATTACAACGGAAAGAACCAGGAACGTTGTCACATTCAGAGTTTACACTGCACACTGGTACAGCTCGACCACATTCATCCTTGTCTTCGCATGTCTCTCCATTGCCAGAGAAACCATTCTTGCAACTGCAAGTAAAGTTACCTGCACTGTTGATACAGATAGCATCAGAATGGCAGTTGTGAGCGCCAGTTGAGCATTCATCTATGTCCCCACAGAACTTTCCTGTTCCGGTATAACCATGTTTACATGCACAAGTAAAACTTCCAACGGTGTCCGTACACTTGGCATTCTCGTCACACGGTGATTTCAGGCACTCGTCAACATTCACACAACTCTTTCCATTACCCTTGTATCCTGAATGACATGAACAACTGAAGTTACCAATGTTGTTCTGACAAGTGGCATCCGATGAACAGTCGTGAAGATCACGTGCACACTCGTCCACATCTAAACAGTAGGTACCTGGACCTTCATAACCTGGGTCACATGAGCAATTATGACCTCCCACTGTGTTGGAGCACATCGCGTTGTCATGGCAATCATGGCCGCCATTCTGACATTCGTTGTGATCAATGCAGTTCGTGCCGTTACCTGAAGTGTACAAAAACATGATCACATATGACCAGCACTCAGTTTCATATTATTGAATTGTCTTAAAATGTGCAATTGGCGATGGTCTGTGCATAGGTCAATATGATTCGACCTTGCTGCATTTTACACTGACTTTTCGACAATTCAGGGGGGGGGGGGGGTTGATGCACCGGATGCGGATCCCAACCCGTGCACCCCCTAACAATTCCGACCTTGGTTCAGCATGCTCATAATGACCATGAATGACATGCACCAGCCATCCTACACATATGCCGTGCACCTCCCATTTATGAAACCCATGGCTTTATAGCTGAGACTGGCTGTATAGTCCATTATCTCTCCATGCCTTTAAAGGTGCGGATATACCGTAAGTGGCCTTGCACCTTCCTAAAAGGGGGACCAGCGGATATACTGTAAGCGGCCTTGCACTTTTCTAAAAGGGGGACCAGCGGATATACCGTAAGCGGCGTTGCACCTTCCTTAAACTGCGGAACCGACTACGCCCCTGAATGCAACAAGATTGCGCCAGACTAAACAGCATTTCCCTAAGCGTCTGGTTCTCAATTGTGCCCGTTTATAGTATGGCGCCAGGCCTACCTTTCAACACATCAAGAACATAAGAACCGCACCAGGCAGAACACATTCACGATTCCCGTGAGACTCGGCTAGAGGTAGAGTGTTACCGCATCCGCTGTAACGCCACCATGATCGAGGATGAAAGATCAAGGATCACCTTACAGAGGATACCGTCTAAGCGGCACTTTGCACACTCAATTTTCACCACCCAAAAGGGGGGGGGAGGGTGTGGCTTATACTCCGCTGATTAAATTAACGGTGATAAATAGAGTAGATGTCTGTTGTTCGTAGAAAAAATGAGGGGGCGGCTTACATTCCGGAAAACAAGGGAACCCCATATGAACGATATCCGGACTTCCAAGTTGGGGCCATCTCGGTCTGCCTGGCACCCTGTCGAGGAGTCTTATTGGAACAATAATTACTATTCGTTTGTCAATTCTGGCAGGAATAGTGACGTCATTTGCTAGGTCCCTGCCCCTTTCCCACTGAGACGCATGCGATTCAGAGTTACTGGTGCTGCAAAGTGCGAATGTATAGGCAGTGCCCGGTCTTGGATTGCCCCAAATAAGACAGATATGAGTGCAGCTAGCAGCTATCCAGCATATCGATAATTTTCTCGAAACGAAAAAGTTTAGTTAGGATCCTCCCCCACCCAAAAAAAGATTGACTTGACAGCAAGAATGCCTTGATGTCTCTCATATCAATATTTCCAAAACGAAACTTCCCTTGGCTCACCCACCCATAGACGAAACTTATGCTCTTTGTTTAAAAGATGGATAGCTACGCCCCTTAGAGTACCAAAAAAGTCCTAAGTTAAATAGCTTTACCATTGTGTCCTTGATGACAGACACACACATAGCTTCCTTTAGTGTTTGAGCACGTTGAATGAGCATGACAGTTGGTAGTGTAAGAACTATTAGTACATTCATCGATATCCACGCAAGATATTCCATCCTTCAAGTAGCCAGTACTGCAATTACAAAGGAAAGAACCAGGGACGTTGTGACATTCAGAGTTTACACTGCACACTGGTACAGCTCCAGCACATTCATTCTTGTCTTGGCATGTTTCTCCATTGCCAGAGAAACCATTCTTGCAACTGCAAGTAAAGTTTCCTGCACTGTTGCTACAGATAGCATCAGAATGGCAGTTGTGAACGCCAGTTGAGCATTCATCTATTTCAGTACACTGCTGTCCATCTCCACTGTAACCAGTTTTGCAACTGCAATCAAACTTTCCCTCACTGTTCGTGCAGATTGCATCAGCATGGCAAGAGGTTATCACCAAACACTCGTCCACATCAGAACATAATGAAATCCCATCACCTGAGAAACCACTATCGCACTTGCATGTATACGAACCGACATTATCTGTGCAGCTAGAGTTCGAGGTGCAGGTTGATGAATTGGAACATTCACGGATGTTTGTGCAGTTTATGCCATCGCCGTGAAAACCACTATTACACGTACAATTGTAGAAACCCTTTTTGTTTGAACATGTTGCATCACTGTGACACATGTTGGCCTTGGAACTCGAACATTCATCAATGTCCACACAGAACTTTCCTGTTCCGGTATAACCATGTTTACATGCACAAGTAAAACTTCCAACGGTGTCCGTACACTTGGCATTCTCGTCACACGGTGATTTCAGGCACTCCTCAACATTCACACAACTCTTTCCATTACCCTTGTATCCTGAAGTACATGAACAACTGAAGCTACCAATGTTGTTCTGACAAGTGGCATCCGACGAACAGTCGTGAAGATCACCTGCACACTCGTCCACATCTGAACAGCATGTGCCTGGACCTTCATAACCTGGGTAACATGAGCAATCATGACCTCCTGCCGTGTTGGAGCACATTGCGTTGTCATGGCAATCATGGCCACCATCCTGACATTCGTTGTGATCGACGCAGTCCGTGCCGTTATCTGAAGTGTACAAAAATATGAAAACACATAGCCAGATTTGGAACTGATCACAGGCTATTTCATACCCAAGCTTTTAGAGGGGCGGAGGTGCTATCAATTTTCTGATCTAGGAGTGACGACTGGAAGATTCAACTTCAAAGTATCTTTGCATGGAAAGCAATACCGTATTCTCCGCAGAATAAACTTCACTGGGGTATAAAGACTGTTGGAACGTTCTCCATTTGTTAGTGTTTGTCTTCGTTTAACATGTATATTACTCAGTATGTCGTAATTGGACACTGCTCGATTATTCTCACCTTATGCGTTTCACTATTTGTAACATGGCTCCTCTGCTTCAGTTTTCGTTCTATCTCCCTGGCAGGGGCAGCCACCACCCGTCTGGTGGGTGCCAGCATTCTCCGGCAGTTGCGCTAGGACTCTACAATACGTTCTTGTTCTTCGATAATTATAAATCTTCCTTTCTAGTTCTTCGCTGTATGTTAATTATTTGTGCTGTTTCTTGCGGCTCTCGCTTTTGTGTCGACTTGACCTTTTTTGCATGTCCGCATGAGTGCAGATGACAACATGCATGATTTTCTGTCACGTGTTTTGCTTTGCGCGTGTCATTGAAGATGTTTGAACTGCGTCCGCTGGCCGATATTCTTTGCTTGCTGTTTTCTTTGCCAGTCAAGCGTGGGGACGCTACGGTTTCATCCTCTTTGGCTGTGTGTCCGATACGGGGCCGGGTATGTGGGTCCCCAGCTCTCCGTTCTTTGTTCTTTTTGATGGTGTTTTCAATGGTGTTTTGAGAACATGTTTGTAATACAGTCTTCTAAATAGATCGATGCCTCCAATGGTTGTGTCTAATGTCAGTGTGGGTTTGCGAAGGAACCAGTGAAACAATGACTCAAGCCTGACCAAGATTTACTGTCACGAGCTGCAAACACCTGCCTCATTTGCCATAGTTACTTTGACCATCGTAGTATAAGGTGCAATGACCATTCACGGTGAGTTCCTGGTGATTTTAAAGTGCGGCTTATACTCCTGACAATACGGTATCAGCATGTAAAGTACACATTGAGGAGCTTCAAATATAAGTACAGCTAATGTTAGACCTCGAATGATGAAACGAATAGATCTGACCACTTTCAGTCCGGCTACAATTTCCAAGGATTCCAACAAGATGTTTTGGAATCTCATCACCTCAGTCTCTTCGGAATGCCATGAATCTCCTCTATTAAGATATTGCCACTAGATACCCAACAAGACCAACAGAATCGCACCGAACTATCGCGCATGAGCGAGATTCTGCAACCAACTCCACAAAAATCGTCGGTTCCCACATGTTTGTTCATCGTTTTCCACGTCAAATGCACCCTGCCACCATGAGTCACACAATAATGAGTCACAGGGAAATTCCCCGTTTGACCACTGCCGTGCCTGCAACACACACACAACTTACAAAAAGAATTAACGTGCATCTGTGTTTGGCTATTCAGCGCTTAATGCTACCTAATTCCGCTATATCAAACGACGCTCACTGTTAAGCGTAGTCTTAAAGCGTCGCAACTGCTGCAAAGCCGGAATGTCTAACGAGTCACAAAGGCTAACGTTTTAAGGACCAATTATTTTTCGGTATTTGAAAAAACATAATCGCTAGATGTCTGTGTAAAGATGCGCATACAGATAGGTGGCCAGGTAGCCATCGTTAAACTTTCTGCACGTAATCATGCCAACATTACAGAAATATTAAACTTTTTGGACCAATTATTTTTCATTATTTGAAAAAACCTTATCGCTAGATGTCTGTGTAAAGATGCCCATACAGGTGGGTGGCCAGGTAGCCATCGTTAAACCTTCTGCACGTAATCATGTCAAAATTACAGAAACATTAAACTTTTTGGTCTTTATACTTTCCGGTTTTACAGTATACACGTGTTTCCTTGTGATGAGGATTTCAGCTTGTTTTTGAACACATTTCTCTCGAGATTCGGGCACAGAGGGGTAAACGGCTGTGAAATCAAGCTAGATAAGACACGTAGCATTTTACTTTTGGGAATCTATCTGGCATACCTTTAGAGATCCCACTGCATGCAAGCGAGCCTTACATGCCGGCGTACAAAGAAATGCACGCACTGCAATAGGAAAAAGGAGAAGACTGTCTGCAAGTATTCTCTACTTTGCATGTATTTCAACTACGTCTGTTTGAGATGTGCCAAATGATGACATCATTAACAATAAGCCCATTGCACATTGACGTAATTTGTACCCTAAACACCCCCAGACAGCCACCTGGGCATGGTCATCTGGGGTTGTTAAACAGTGCATTGCTGATCCCAGTGTACTCACATGCATTCCTCATACCATCCATATTTTGCGATGCGCAATGGGCTCATATTGAAAAAAGAATCATGTCAGGGAAGCATCACATCGCTATACTTACAAACACAAGAGAAAACCGGTGTCGTTCCTTCGCACACTGGTTGACGATGGGGGTAGACATATCCAGGGTTACAAACGACAATACCGTCCACTGTTATGCTGGCGATATTATCTCCCGCAGTGCGTCCACAAGCTGAAGTCAAAACGATATGAACAGAAAGTACAGCATACTCTTCATTATCATCTCTGACAGTGGCGTTGCAGTTTAGAGCTAGAATCATTCAAATTTCCAGAGCCCGGTGAAAGTATCATGACACAGGGAAAAAGTCTTTCCGAGCGATTTTCTCAAAATTCTGAACAAAATGGGTTTCCCCGCAGACAAGTTTCACATGCACTGGCCCATATGTTAGCACAGGTTTATTTGACTGTACTAGCATGAGAGAAACTAAGGGGCCGTTGCAAAAGTTTTCGTCATCTCTGAAACGAATATCGTTCGTTTCGTCGTACTCGAACCTCCTCCCCTCCCTCCAAAACGAAGGCAACTTGCTATGCTGGACAGCAGGCAATGAGGAACTTGCACATTTCACATATAGCACGAAGCTGATGGGCTGAAAACAATCCATAAACCAGTGTAGAGTACTCTACACGTCGTTTGTCAGCTCTTGTATAGCCTCTGCCGCTCAGCCAGGCAGGATCCCTGGGGCCAGGCGTACACTTTGCATTGAATGTCGTTGCGCTGAGGACATCGCCATTATGCCGTTTGCAGGTTTGCGCGGCGGTTGCATAGTCAACTTCTCACTGACGGACGTCCATGAGAACAGTTTGGGTACGGAAACAAAAGTGATAGCCAGTTAGTTCTTTGTATACTCCAGTACAGAAATGGTACATATAAGTCATTGATGAATAAAACGGCATGGAAATTGTATCAAAATTTATACTTTTATATTAGACTTGGTGCCAAGGATTAATTTACAAGAAGAAAAGAGGACCAAGGAGCTACAAGTTGCGCTGGAATATCCATGAACACTACCAGTAACTTTACAATCTGCTAGTTAGGTGTAGAACGTCAGTACCGTTGGTCAGTGTCGTGCAATGTTATCACATGAGCTGATTGTAAAGTAACTGGTGGTTTCAGTGGCTATTATAGCACAACTTGTCGCTCCTTGGTACTCTTTTCTTCTTCTATATTATAATTACCGTATTTTTCCGGTTGTAAGTCGACCTTTTACGACTAAAAAAGAAGGAGAAAGGGTGGGGGTCGACTTACAACCGGGATTCGACTTATAACCGGGAACTATCAGTATCTTACAAACAAATGACCTGCACTGCATGCACTAGACCACCATGTGTACACATTTTTGCCAGTTTAGTGGCCTTTTTCAAGGATTGGGAAGTTATACCCTCCAATAAGGAATGTTTACAAGATTTGTTGATGTGATACATAGTAGCAGGGAGTGGTTAGTGGTGCTTCTTTGGGTGAAAACTTTAAAACGCAGAATCGAGACCTCCAGATACGGGGGTCGACTTACAACCGGTAAAATACGGTAAATTTTAATCACGGCCTTTCTCTATTTTCATACTTGAAGTACTTGTGAAGCACGCTTGAATCTCCTCACTTGAACAAATTGATGCATGCACCTACTCCATAGGCTCGGCCACAAAACCAACCACAACTTGGAGTCATGTTGAAAATAATGCACACAAATTGAGTGTCAGCATACACACAGCACAATCATTTCTATAATAATAAGGACCTTAAGCAACGCAAAAGTTCGAAAGAAAATTCGAGTCTGGGAATGAGTATAAGGCGGTGTTTACATGAGGCGTTTCAACCCGGGTTGAGTTCGACCCGGGTCAGATTTCAACCCGCCATGTGCATAAAATGAATGGCGCGTTTACATGACGCATTGCGCTTGACCCGGGTTGAAATTTCGCCCCGGGTTGATTTCAACCCTCCCCCCAAGGGGAGGGTTGAAATCAACCCGGGTCAAGAAAATCGTACAAACGTACTTCTGTGCGTATCTCGCGCCAGGTTTGAACGGCACTGCAGATGCAAATTTCGCGCGAACGGATTCACGTGACCATAAAGGACTGTAGAAGTGGACTTTTGGCGGCATATCAGTATTTGACCCGGGTCAACTGACTTCATGTAAACGCTCACCTCTTTTGTCTATCGTACAGACTTTCAACCCGGGCTGAACTCGACCCGGGTTGAAATTTCTCATGTAAACACAGCCTAAAACAAAGCTCGAAACTTCGAAAACTTGGACGCGAAGTTGCAGTGATTTGCGAAAGTAACTTTCTCTTTTCTCGGCACGCATTTGACTACAGGGAGTAGTAATTTTATAGTCCCCTGCTTGAGACTGAGCTGCATTATACGGTACAATACTACTTGGTCCGCGTCAGCAATATTGTCGCTTTATATCTTTCGACAATTTGAACTTAGACTTTGGACATGAACGCGTGCACTTGAAGTGATACAACTTGGTACGATGGACGGTAAGGTATAGAATGACAACTAGCTTTCAGGAATTTATTGCCCAAGGAAGGGTTCATACTTTTTTCGGTCCTCTTCGTCGCTGCTCTTTCCGCTGGTGACAAATATTTTTGCTCAGGTTCGACTCTCTTGCTTTTGCAAG